CACGGTCTCAAACTGTCTAGAAACTTCTAGTTGATTACATTGGTACACGGTCTCAAACTGTCCAAAAACTTCTAGTTGATTACATTGGTACACGGTCTCAAACTGTCCAAAAACTTCTAGTTGATTACATTGGTACACGGTCTCAAACTGTCCAAAAACTTCTAGTTGATTACATTGGTACACGGTCTCAAACTGTCTAGAAACTTCTAGTTGATTACATTGGTACACGGTCTCAAACTGTCCAAAAACTTCTAGTTGATTACATTGGTACACGGTCTCAGACTGTCTAAAAACATCTAGTTGATTACATTGGTACACGGTCTCAAACTGTCTAGAAACATCTAGTTGATTACATTGGTACACGGTCTCAAACTGTCCAAAAACTTCTAGTTGATTACATTGGTACACGGTCTCAAACTGTCTAGAAACATCTAGTTGATTACATTGGTACACGGTCTCAAACTGTCTAGAAACTTTTAGTTGATTACATTGGTACACGGTCTCAAACTGTCCAAAAACTTCTAGTTGATTACATTGGTACACGGTCTCAAACTGTCCAAAAACATCTAGTTGATTACATTGGTACACGGTCTCAAACTGTCCAAAAACTTCTAGTTGATTACATTGGTACACGGTCTCAAACTGTCTAGAAACTTTTAGTTGATTACATTGGTACACGGTCTCAAACTGTCCAAAAACTTCTAGTTGATTACATTGGTACACGGTCTCAAACTGTCTAGAAACATCTAGTTGATTACATTGGTACACGGTCTCAAACTGTCCAAAAACTTCTAGTTGATTACATTGGTACACGGTCTCAAACTGTCTAGAAACATCTAGTTGATTACATTGGTACATACTTGCAAGGCTTCCGAGCCGTCTAAAACCCTGTAGTTGACTGCATTTGTACATGGTTTTAAGTCGTCCGCATTTGAACGTGGTTTCAAGTCGTTTAGAAACCTGTAGTTGACTGCACTTGTATATGGTTTCAAGCTGGCTAGGAACTTGTAGTTGACTGTATTTGTACATGGTTCCAAGCTGTCTAGAAACCTGAAACTGACTGTATTTGTACATGGTTCCAAGCTGTCTAGAAACCTGAAACTGACTGTATTTGTACATGGTTCCAAGCTGTCTAGAAACCTGAAACTGGCTGTATTTGTACATGGTTCCAAGCTGTCTAGAAACCTGAAATTGGCTGTATTGGTACATGGATTCAGGCCGTCCAGAAGCCTGGAGTTAACTGTATTTCGGTTAAAGCCGTCTAGATACTTGCAGTTGAATACATTGGTAGGTCGTTTTAACCCGTCTACAAACGGTGTTGTTGACTTCAATGGCACTTTGGCTTCAAGCCTTGCTGACATCAGGTAGTGCACTACATTTATACTTTTTTAATGATCTCCGACTAGACTTTTAGACTAAGTAGTTTTTCAGTAACTTTTTGTTTCAGTAGTTGCCATCGGACACGACTTCATTATTCTGCATCTATTGGGCTTGAACTGGACAGACAATTTACTACTAGTATGTAAAGTGTACTGCTTGTATGTATAATGTACACACTAGTGCATTACTTCCGGTGTCTAGTTGGAAGTATTGTCATGCTATGAAAAGTGCTATTAAAAGCGTGTTGGTCCATTATTTTTTTTAACTTTCATATGAAACCGTTTTTGGTAATTTTATCACTTGAAACAGTATCATATTTAAAGTCTCAGTAAATCAGAAAACCTATAACGCCATCCAACAACAATTCATCGCTTCACGTCCAAGCTTCCCAATTGTTGCAAGGAATGAAGCTAGCAGAACTGTATTTTGCATATCGGTGTAATAAAAGTCCAGATTTAGAAAGTATGTGATATTCAGAATTGACCATAATGACAAAATGTTGACTTCCTACATGTACATCCTTCTGGTTGTAGTTACCAATTAGTTATAACCGGAAGTAGATGTTCCGGAGTAGTTTCCGTGTACGTCAGCTGGACACTCCTGTGTGATTTAGTTATGTAGTTTAATAGTGTAGGATTTGGATGCGTCGGTCATTCTAGAAAGAAAATGTTTTAATCCAATAGTGTCACTCCTGATACAATTACAATTAGAGATATGCGAATCGAGGGTGGAAATTGGATTTCAACAACAATAAGCATCAGATTTAGAAACCCAAGAACATTGATTTAAACATATTTTATTTGTACAAAGTATACCAGCTGGATTGGGCACAAGTTTTCTAACTTATATAAAGCCCATTGAAGAACATTGTTGAACTTGGTAATTATGATACTCTGAGATTTGCGGCTCCATATCGATCGCTTCAATCCAAATCCAGATTGTTTTCTACTATAATTGGTTACAAGATTTTTTTCCGAAGCAATTAATTTGAACTAAGTTTATAATATTCTGTAGAACATATGAAAGCTCTCGGAATGAGAAATACGTTGTGCTGATTATATCGACAACGTAGAACGCGTCGAATTATATTTCCGCATTCAAAACTTTATCAAAATACATTTCCTTTTCAAAAAAGACTTTTATCATTTTCTACTTTCACTATAATCTTATCAAGTACCACCAATTTACATTTTTATATTTCGCGTTTACATCACTTTCTCATTAATACAAGAGCAGCTCCAATCAATCCTCGAACACGTAATTATGTAGTATGGATGTCTGAAGCTTCCTAATAGATTTTAACAACATTTTTGTCGGTAGATTTTAGGAACAAAAACTTCAAAGATTTTCAGTTATGAACATTGTTTGATCTATTCACCCCATTTTTAGTTTATAGTCATATTCATACAAGTTTATGTTAGTCATCTGATGGGTTTTTCGCCATGCTTGGGAAGAGCAATAATTTTTAGTTTAAAAGCCGTATTTTAGTGAATTTTGAGGATGGAAGAGTTTTCATTGTTTTTTGTTGTTTTTTTTTTTTATTTTTGTTTTTTTTTCAATTCAAATTTGATAATGTTTAAATATCTAAACATGACAACAACAGGTATATGGCGATCACATATTATTGACAAAAAATTCGAAGCAAAGTTGTCGAAATTTGCCCTTACTCAAAAATTAATTTCATTATTATTTCTTTCTTTTTCGTAGACATTAGTTAAGCGATACATGGAATCTCGATACACTTGTTTACGTCCATACACATAAAGTTGATTATACTATCCAGATTCAATAACATATAGTATTGGTATATAGCGTATAATAAAACTACCGGATGACACACTTCGGTTCTTATACTTAGTATCTAAATTCAATGTTTTACATTTGCTAATCGATCAGTATCAAATGGTTTTGTCGTACATTCTACTGTAACCATCATCAGATGTTACGAATTCCAGCAAAAGTTTTGATGTTGTTTATGACAAGGATGTATTACTTAGCTGAAAAATATGCGATATAACAAGACTAAATTTGTTAATTAAAGCTGCCAATTAGTGACAAAAAACCTTTCCGATTTTAGCAAAATTAAATTGCATATAATGACAGACTCGCCTTACTTGTCCAAGTCCGTAATATAATATAGCTAGTTCATTTAAAAATGTATCCCATATAAAATCTTTAGAAAATTTGTTCTATTTATTAATATTACTATTATTTTTTAACATGGAGTGCGGAGTGGGAGTCTGTGCCTTGTGTAAATCCTTTACTAACTAGACACGCTTTCCACACATCTACACAATTCCGACATTTTTTTCTTCTCCAGTCAGTCGTTAAAACAAAACACATTTTGAAGTAAGAATACTGTTTTTAATTATTAGAACATTGCAGTAACAATTAACGAAATAACGGTAAAACGCGACTGGGACACGAGACAGTTATACACGTTTCGCCGCTTTCAGGTGACTGTTACCTCGGCTGCTTTACTGGGTCACGAGAGCGACACAATCGTTTATACAGCATTTGACGTACATGTTTTCATAGACTTATATAATACCTATTATATAATTCTCAGTGATGTTTTATTAATGCAACTCTATAAGAACCAAAGTTATTGTACTCCATATATGACGTAACGTTGTAATATATATTTGTGTCGTGAGAAATGAATAGAGGGGAGAGAATAAAAAATTTGGAAATGAAACTTGTTTGTTGAGTTTATAACCCCCGGAAACAACAAGGATCATAATGCCACTATAAAGACTCAATTTCACGTCATCATATTAAAAGTCTGTAAGGTTTGAAACTAGTTGTGAGAATCTCGCGTTCAAAGTCCTAAACCTGGACAGAACAAATGCTATTCAGTAAATGATATCATAACATGATTCTTTTCATCTAAATACCACGGAAGAAACAGTGTTCCGTGTTTTGATGATGCTGTACTGAAAGAGATCGATCGCACACTTGAGAACAGAAATCTCAAGGCAATATTAAACAAAATAAAGATGATGACGATGTATCTCACGTGCAATCCATTGCACAGACAATCTGATTGAAATACAGATCTTAATTTACCACTCCATTACTCGTATTTTAATGAACGGAAAGTAATGGAGTGGTAAATTAATATCTGTATTTCAATCAGATTGTTGCACAGAAATATACCAGACCAGACAACATAATATATTCGAAACTCCGATGCCCGGCATGAAGACATGTCCGTACTTTGTTTATTTAACGTCATATTTAATACACAGTGACAGTATTTTAGAAGCAGATCACTCCATTAGCCTATGCTGTAAGTTACAGTTCCAATTATTCAGAAATTGGCAGGTAGATTCATAATTTTCTGAGAATGGATTATTACAGATTTTATAAAAGCATGCCACTGTCAGCTGTTTTTGTGTTACACAAATGCTGTACACATGTACACATACACACATGTGTGGTTCGACCTTCACGAGGGACTTTCCTCTTGTCGAGCAGCTGATCACATGATCATGTGGAATCTCAACACGAGAGCTACGCATGTTGATTGGCCAAAAGATTGTAGCTCTTCTGTGATTGGGTAACTTACACTGGCCTGAAAGTTGTAAACGACCTTGACCCATAAAGGCCGGTGTTTTGTACTCGTACGTATGAGGGGTAGGTCTGTTGCAACCAGAGGCAATGCAGAGAAAAGAAGTCGTTTTCCAGGATACATGTGAATGAAAGGTGGTCTGATTTTGTGTTATTTAAAAGGGTTACATTACGGTGAGTAGGAAATGTTTTGGTTTTATAGATTGAATTTTTGATTTTCGACGGTTACACTCATTTTTCGCTGTTATTGTCGAACAGTGGTGGGATAGGCCTCACTGAGCAGTAATCATTACACACCTTTGGCGAATCGTTTTGGAAAACTTCTTATGATTACTATGAACTCTTGAATTTCTGCTGGGTGTCGTCATTGATATATTGATGATTTATCTTGTTATTAAAATCACGTCTTTTGACTTGAGTTTGCCTAAGGTTTTAGATATTTTTTGCATCATAACCTACAGACACCTGTATCTGGAACATAAACAACAAAAGCAAAATGTCATTCCGCTAGGAGTCTGTGCAAAAGCTGAAGCGAATTCAAAGTCACTTTCCCAGCAATGCTAGATATAACTGCGAAATGATAGCAATGTGTGTTTACGTTATAGAAGAGCAACAAGTTGAATGCATCTTCTCGATAGCAGAGTCGGGGAAGTTAAGATATTTGATTTATATGTCAATTAGTAGAAAATAGAATAATAGCAACTTAACGATCCTCTCTTTAATTAACAAGTAGCATTTGGTATTTAATATAAATATAGCTATCTAGCCCTTGTGTCACAGGTGAGAGGCTAAGGCATAACAAAGAAATGGTTGTTCCTGTTTCCCTTTGCATTTGTTTCTTCCCCAAAATTTGTTATCGCTTATTTCCATGGAAGCACAGCTAATGTCATGATCAGCTTCCATTTTTCTACAAAACTACTAAAACAAAAAAGTATTTGGCACTATCTGTCATAATTTAAAAAAAAAAATTTTAAATGTAGCAGAAAACAAATACTACTATGTTGTAATTATTTAATCAAGTGTTTCTCCAGAAACATTTTCGTAAACAAATACAAGTATGATATACATTTCTTATATATTTCAGATACACTAATGCTGAAATCAGTATTACCTGGTTCTAATTACCTGCTGAAAACCATGCCGGTTGACCTATCAGCATATCTCCTTTCTTCCAGTCCTCCAGCATCAAGCTTTGAGTTCTTGAACTCGGCTTTTGTTACCAGAGGGGATTCATGGAATAGAGGATGTGGTTTTGAATCTAAAACTGAAGACTTGGGTAAATATGACAACACTTCAAATTACCCAAATGAAAATAAAGAGCCTCTCAAGCCAATAATTAACCAAGATAACAGCTTTTGTAGTGAACAGGACTATGAGCCAGATACATGTGACTCCTGCAGTTCCTCGAGGTCAGAATCACCATCACTGGGAAGGACTAAGAAAAAGGTCTCCTTTGCAGACCATAAAGGGCTAGCTTTAGCCACAGTGAAAATCATGACAGAACCTTCCCATATGCCACCTCGTTTGCGACCGGAAATCATCTCTTCCCTTACACAGGGAGCTACAGCAGGTGTGACAGAACAGCCTCCATTGGTCCTACAATTTCAGCAGCCAGCTTCAGACTACCTTGCATTCAGAGATCGCTTAGAACACAGCAATTTGTCTCTGGAAAATGTGATCTTGAGAGATTATAATGTTCTTGGGACAGTCAAAGTGAAAAACATTTCGTTTGAAAAGAATGTATTTGTCAGATGTACATTTGACTCCTGGGAAACCTCTGAAGATATTGTGGCAACTTACGTTCCAAATTCTTCTAAACAAAGTGGAAACCTTTTCGATACTTTCTCTTTTGAAATAGAAGTACCTACCAATTTTGATAGATGTAAAAGCATTCAGTTTGCTGTGTGTTTTGATACAAAGCACCATCAATATTGGGATAGTAATGATGGAAAAAATTATGGAATTGTATCTGCAAACTTTGAAAGTTTAGAAGATGGCTTCCTAAAGATTTCTAACAAACATCACATCAGGAAAGGTGATATTTTACAGAATGTGGACTCTTGGACTAGCTTTGCTTGTTGGAACAAAGTTGACACAAGTGTGCCATATTGGTGAAAGCACCTGTTGGTTGACAATTTTCACCATTGAAACCAAAATTGTGATCAGTAAGACATGCACATGCTTCACACGTGTGATGGTAACTGTTTGGTGATCATGTGATGGTGCTGCAGTCGGTGCATCTTACCCTATAGCACAAGGTTAAAAAATATTTATCCAGACAGGAAAGGTATGGTCAGATCTTGTGAAAGTGGTTGGTTGACTGTATATAAATAGCATTCATTGTATATATACACAGAATGTATATGCATTCAAATTACAACACACAATTTTGTTTCCTTTGTGTAATAACTGCTTTTATGCTGTATATGTAGGATCTTCTCAGAAAACTGATGAGTTTTGAATATTTCCATCAGACACAACAGATAGTACAATGTGTGTAGACCTATACTCTTTACTAAGGTATTGTGATTCAGTGGTAAAAATGACCTAAATTTACGTTTTAAAATGTTGTATGAAAATTTAGTGCCAAAATATGTACACTGTATACAGATTATTGTGAATCATCTAATATTACTTGCCATAGAATTTTGCATGCTACCAATAGGGTGGTTGCCTTGTGGGAAGGGAGATAACTCCAGAAAGAATACAGGACTTGTGAAATTATAATTTAACATTTTCACACTAAGGCATCAAATTTGTGTTGTGTATAATTGATATACTTATATGCACAGTTACTCTAAAGACCGAGTTATATCCTTATTAAATTTCTCAAAAATAATAAATGTCAATTCAGTCAATTAATAGTTACATTAGCTATTATTTATGGTTGTGATGTAATGTTTCTTCAATATGTGTTATTATATACACACATCTAACTCTTTGTTGTAATTATATCATAAAGTGGTTTCTGATATGAAAAAATACACTGTCCTTCAATTTTTGTACACAATTTGGTCTCTTTTTTTTATCAACATATTCAAGTTTGAATTGTGATCTATAATCAGAATGTTATTAGTTACTGTTGTGATCACTCAAATGATTTCCCTGATTTAATACTCTATATACCTATGTATATATATATGCAATTGATCTCTTCTGAGTTTTGCAGTATTAATTTGAAATAAAGGTTTAAGCTTTCAAATCGTACCTACATGTAAGTCATTGAACTCCGATCTAGAGTTAAGAGAGAAGCACTTTTTCCTTAAAAACATTGACATACACTTTCTAGTTTATGTGTTGATGAAGAAACTTGTACAGGATGCACTAGTCGTTTTCAGTCACTGATTTTGTCTCCTTAAATTATGGGTTTTTATTTTGCTGACTTGAAGGAACCTGCATCCTGTCAGCTGAAACCACATGATACTTAGCCTTGCTTCCAACCACTGGTTTTATGATATTACTTCTGTAACCCTCTAGGAATCTCGTACAGTGTGAATAAGTTTTATCAGTTGTAGTTTAAATTACAGGAAAATTAATTCTTTTAAAATTCATGTTTATTTAGTTTTGTACTCGCGTTTAAGATGTACATTGAAATGATTCAGTGTTAGATGTACTTATTTACATGGTAAAGTTTGGCATTCATATTGATTTATTGTATAAATTGTTTAAATTCAAATATGTTCAAACAGGTAATAAAGAAAAACTATGTTTTTCATGTGAATAATTTGATATGCTTGTATTTTTACAAACTAGATTGTACATTTTAATAACTACTTGCACTTAAAAATATCTAATTATATATCTATACATATATATACTTTTGTGATATATTCATTACTCTAGGCTGAAGAAGTGTGTATGCATGCACCACACAGCAAGCCAACTTTAATCTCTTCTTCTAATTTATACAAAAGATCTTTGATATCATATATACTTGAACTCTTTGTGATATTTAAGGTGTGCACTTGACATTGTGCATGTAACAGAATCCCTAGTTAATACCAAAGTAATTAATGTTTGATTTCACATTTAAATAGGGTCCTGAGATCACAGAAACCTGTTGTCTGTGATAAAATGTTTTTTCCTACAAATGATTTATACAAACAATGAGTTTTTGACTCCATTGTTACATTGTTATTATTTGGAGAAGTCAGGCAGATGGCTGGTCTTTGTATCTCTACATGTACTGACCAGAGAGTGATGGCCTCAAATGGGCATGCCGAAGGCGTAGCTTTAGGTCATCAGATTTTTAATTAATGAGAGTGAAAGCAGTTAAAAGCTATTTAATAGTTAGATGATTATCAAAGAGTGTGAGAATGGTCAAAAGAGTCCTCATTGTTACAGGTGTGCATCGTCAGAGAGTGTTCATTAAAAAAACTTAAATTGAAGATGATCTTGTGTTATATTTTTGGTATATCATTGGAAAAGTACAGAAAGCTGTGGCGGAGGTTATCGGGAAACAATTCAGGTGAAACATTTATATCTCATCCACAAGAGCTTCATGAGCCAATGTTAGTTGTATTTGATGGTAATTGGTGTGAACCAATTCAAATGCAAGTTGCATTTTATGATGAGCCAATGCAAGTTCTACTTATTCCCAAGAAGTGTCAATAACATTTAACTAGACCCAGATGAGACAAAAGTCATAGGATGTCGGCTTCCAGATTACCACATGAATGCATTTCAGCTCAAAAAAACTTGCATGAATATGTCGTCCATTTGTCTACTACAGAGCTCGGAACCCCCACCAATTCTGGTCTATAAGACTTTCATGATAATCACCATCTTGAAAATCTTGTTATCATTTCTGCAATTGAACAGAAAGACATTGAGACTGGACTTCACCATCAAATGATTGTTATATGGTCTTCAGATGTTCCTAACCTTGTTAAAGGGAGAGAACTATTCAGCCAGTGTGGCATTTCTAGCCCACCATCATCAGGTGATGGACTCTTCAAATTGCCCTACGTTCATGGTCTGCCCTTCCATCCGTCTGTAAACAATTTTTGCTATTTCTTGAAGTACTTGATGGATCTTTCTTAAATTTCATGTTGGTGTCCCTTGGTCCCTTGTGCCCATTTGATTTGGATCTGATTTGAATAACAAATTGGCAGACAGGCAGCCATCTTGGATTTTGACTTGAAGGTTTGTTATTGCTAATTTTTCAGAAATACTGCATAGATCTTTCTCAAATTTCATGAAAGTTTGTTATTGCTAATTTTTCAGAAACTAAATGGCTTTTGGATTTGGCAGTGAAAGATTTTTCATCTATTTCTACAAGTAATGTTCAAATTTCTTATTATTTAGAGAAAACAGACTGGACTTCACTATGGAATGATTGTTATATGGTCTTCAGATGGTTCTAACCTTGTTATCTTTACTTTTGAAGGGATGGAATTATTAAGCTGGTGTGGCATTATTAGGTCACTATCATCATATGCTGGACTTTTCAAATTGCCCTATGTGCATGGTCTGTCCTTCCATCCGTCCGTAAACAATTCTCGCTATCGCTATTTCTTGAAGTATTTGATGGATCTTACTTAAATTTCATATGTTGGTTTCCCTTGATCCCTAGTTGTGCCCATCGATTTTGAGACTGATCAGGACAAACAAAATGGCTTTTGGATTTGGCAGGGAAAGATTATCATCGCTATTTCTACAAAGGAATGTTCAAAATGTCTGATCAGTAAGAGCAAAAACAGAGAAGAGAAAAGAAGGGAAAAGACCTTACTTTCAAAGAGCAAATAAATACAGAGATAGGACCTGTGCCGCATTCAATGTGACCGCTATCTTGAAATACCGCTATTGCCGGCTCATGAATTGTTGAAAGTAATACAGAGGCATAACACTGATGAAATGTATACAGATAATCATAAACAGGTCTAGGGCAAAACAAAAATCACCATAAACAAGTTTAAGGCCAAACAAAAATCACCATAAACAAGTCTAAGGCCAAACACAAATCATCATAAACAGGTCAAGGGCCAAACACAAATCATCATAAACAAGTCTCGGGCCAAACACAAATCATCATAAACAAGTCTAAGGCCAAACACAAATCACCATAAACAAGTCTAGGGCCAAACACAAATCACCATAAACAAGTCTAGGGCCAAACAAAAATCACCATAAACAAGTCTAGGGCCAAACACAAATCATCATAAACAGGTCTAAGGCCAAACAAAAATCATTATAAACAAGTCTAAGGCAGAACACAAATCATCATAAACAGGTCTCGGGCCAAACACAAATCATCATAAACAAGTCTAGGGCCAAACACAGATCATCATAAACAAGTCTAGGGCCAAACACAAATCATCATAAACAAGTCTCGGGCCAAACACAAATCATCATAAACAGGTCTCGGGCCAAACACAAATCATCATAAACAAGTCTAGGGCCAAACACAAATCATCATAAACAGGTCTAGGGCCAAACACAAATCATCATAAACAGGTCTAGGGCCAAACACAAATCATCATAAACAGGTCTCGGGCCAAACACAAATCATCATAAACAAGTCTAGGGCAAAACAAAAATTGTCATAAACAGGTCTCGGGCCAAACACAAATCATCATAAACAAGTCTAGGGCAAAACAAAAATGTCATAAACAGGTCTAGGGCAAAACAAAAATCATCATAAACAAGTCTAAGGCCATACACAAATCATCATAAACAGGTCTAGGGCCAAACAAAAATCATCATAAACAAGTCTCGGGCCAAACACAAATCATCATAAACAAGTCTAAGGCCAAACACAAATCATCATAAACAGGTCTAGGGCCAAACAAAAATCATCATAAACAGGTCTAGGGCCAAACACAAATCATCATAAACAGGTCTAGGGCCAAACACAAATCATCATAAACAAGTCTAAGGCCAAACACAAATCACCATAAACAGGTCTCGGGCCAAACACAAATCACCATAAACAAGTCTCGGGCCAAACACAAATCACCATAAACAAGTCTCGGGCCAAACACAAATTGTCATAAACAAGTCTAAGGCCAAACACAAATCACCATAAACAAGTCTCGGGCCAAACACAAATCCATAAACAACAAACACAAATCATCATAAACAAGTCTCGGGCCAAACACAAATCATCATAAACAAGTCTAGGGCCAAACACAAATCACCATAAACAAGTCTCGGGCCAAACACAAATCACCATAAACAAGTCTCGGGCCAAACACAAATTGTCATAAACAAGTCTAAGGCCAAACACAAATCATCATAAACAAGTCTCGGGCCAAACACAAATCATCATAAACAGGTCTAGGGCCAAACACAAATCATCATAAACAAGTCTCGGGCCAAACACAGATCATCATAAACAAGTCTAGGGCAAAACACAGATCATCATAAACAGGTCTAGGGCCAAACACAAATCATCATAAACAAGTCTAAGGCCAAACACAGATCATCATAAACAAGTCTAGGGCAAAACACAGATCATCATAAGCAAGTCTAGGGCAAAACACAGATCATCATAAACAGGTCTAGGGCAAAACACAGATCATCATAAGCAAGTCTAGGGCAAGATTTCCTTGTAACTTACGCTATGGTTATAAAGGTGTGCATAAGACGAGATAGAGAAGTGAATGCACATGAAAAACTCAAAATTTTATCTAATCTCTATTTCATTCAAATTTTGTCACTTTCCTGTTGACATTGCAGTTTTCTTGTGTTTTGATAAAAACATGCACACAGAATTATAGATAGCCACAGAACAGATGGAAGGATCACAGGTTGGCAACATATTCCGTCCTTTGACAATATACAAAGTTGGGGGGTGGGGGGAATTGGTTAAAAATATGAGAGATCTCCGGACAAATTCAAATTTACGACGGACGAACGGGCGGACGTTCAGAAGGACAACGCAGTACCATAATACGTTCCGTCTAAATTTTGGGGGCGTATAAAATAATCCTGAATTAACTACAAAAAGTTTGACACCACTGGAGTACTAGTCTCATCAGGTATTTTCATACAAACGGACATGGTAATATTATTTTTAAAAAAATGTACACTGTCTCCCACCATGTAGGGACAGTAATCATTCATGTCTGTCAAAATGTCTTTTACAGCAGGCGTCAGTATGAAATATTGATAACTAATCCATCTAAATATCATAATGTAGACATAATTTAAAGGGACTGAATGGTAATTCAAAACCGTTAAAAATACCATATTTCAGGAATTTAAAGCCGTCGATATTTTGCAATTGCCAATCTGATATCGCTACTGTACAACTTTAATTGAAATTGAGAGAGCCAGTATATTTCAAAAATTAAATCATGGAGCTGCCTCAGATACAGACATACACTGTACAGCTTACACCTCCTTACTGACAGACAGGGCACGATCCTGATCTATACTGATCGATGAACCAAAAAATTACCAGGGACGTGTGATAGGATTATAACGGCTACGTGCCTGATAACAATCCGCACGGTCTTCTATCGTCTTATGGCATGGCGTTTCATTATCCTGAAAAGGCTAAGAGCTATTTAATGTCTTCGAACGGCGAACTGAAAACTGCATGGGAAAGGATATAAAAACAAGTACCGCGATATAGCATTGCGTAATAACAAACGTACATGTATGATATGATCTTTCGATATTATAATGTGGGGACACAACATTTTTTTCGCTCTCGCGCAATGACGAATCATTTCTTGTAATGTCCGTTTCCAATCACCTCTAGATCAGTGATTTTCACTATTTGGTTACACGATAAAAGTAAACCAGACCGGAAAATGTCCCTCTGCATCTAAGTCCATGTTGAAAGATAATTCGTCATGTAAAAGTTCAAATACCGCATGTACTTCATCCATAATAAAGTAGACAGAAGGACAAGCTGATTTCTACATAGTACCAAGAACAGGATAGTGCATTAGACCCTCAATAGTGTCTTTGAATCCAGAGGAAAATACTGAGTTCGAGTTACATATGTTCTTAGGTTCAATAAATAGGATTCTCAATACGATTTGGAACAGGCAGATCTTATCTCAACCCAGTTTAAAATGCATAGAGCAGAAAAGTCAAAAGTTGAAAAAGAAACCTTGCACTTCGTTTTGGTCTTGTCCCACGAATGCTCCACGTCGGGAAACTGATTTAGTAATAAAAGTGCCATTATACAAGTATTGATAAATTTCTAGATTGTTCTTCAGCTACTCTTGTTGGTGTTAATTTTACACTTATACAAGCATTGCTACAATTTCTAAATCGTTCTTCAGCTACTCTTGTTGGTGTTAATTTTTCACTTATACAAGCATTGCTACAATTTCTAAATCGTTCTTCAGCTACTCTTGTTGGTGTTAATTTTTCACTTATACAAGCATTGCTACAATTTCTAAATCGTTCTTCGGCTACTCTTGTTGGTGTTAATTTTTCACTTATACAAGCATTGCTACAATTTCTAAATCGTTCTTCAGCTACTCTTGTTGGTGTTAATTTTTCACTTATACAAGCATTGCTACAATTTCTAAATCGTTCTTCGGCTACTCTTGTTGGTGTTAATTTTTCACTTATACAAGCATTGCTACAATTTCTAAATCGTTCTTCAGCTACTCTAGTTGGTGTTAATTTTTCACTTATACAAGCATTGCTACAATTTCTAAATCGTTCTTCAGCTACTCTTGTTGGTGTTAATTTTTCACTTATACAAGCATTGCTACAATTTCTAAATCGTTCTTCGGCTACTCTTGTTGGTGTTAATTTTTCACTTATACAAGCATTGCTACAATTTCTAAATCGTTCTTCAGCTACTCTTGTTGGTGTTAATTTTTCACTTATACAAGCATTGCTACAATTTCTAAATCGTTCTTCGGCTACTCTTGTTGGTGTTAATTTTTCACTTATACAAGCTTTGCTACAATTTCTAAATCGTTCTTCAGCTACTCTTGTTGGTGTTAATTTTTCACTTATACAAGCATTGCTACAATTTCTAATCGTTCTTCGGCTACTCTTGTTGGTGTTAATTTTTCACTTATACAAGCATTGCTACAATTTCTAAATCGTTCTTCAGCTACTCTAGTTGGTGTTAATTTTTCACTTATACAAACATTGCTACAATTTCTAAATCGTTCTTCAGCTACTCTTCTTGATTTCAATATCACCTTTACATAGACATTGGTACATTTCTCAGTCGTCTTTAGATACTCTTGTTGGTGTTAATTAAGATTTTGCTAACTGTCACTCCCAATTTTTTCCCTCCTTAGAGTGCTTAATCGTGACTCTTCCCGTCAACTTTCTTCGGAAGTAATTTTCCACTGTATTTCCACGATCATCTGACCACACCATTCGTTCCTGGCCCATGGCAGTATCCCAATTATAAACAATTTTGTCAACTAACTTGGCATTCTACATTTTTGCTTCCATCATTGTACGAATTCCTTTACTGTGTTGAACTATTCAGTGAAGGATCCAGGATTTTGAAAAAGAGTGACGCAAAAACATTTGTCTATCAACACGAAAACAACCATTTCACGCTTCAAGCAATACTCGAAAAAAAGTTGTAATGTACATTTCATAAAATCATTGTACGATCCTCTATGTCATTCTAGCACAGGTTATAGTAACAGTAACATAGATTTGTCGATTTCTCTCGTATTTAAATCGTCAAAACAAAAACAGGAAAAATGGCTAATGTTTAATTATATAATATGGAAAAAGGATGTAAATAAAATTTATCATGAAGAGATCAAAACAAATCTCGAAATCTGATGTTTGTATGGAAATAGCGATATAAAATGAATAAGAATAGAATATAAATATAATAGAATATAAAAAATATACTGAAGGTAAATCATTATCAGGCATAAATCCACTTTAAAATTTTTTGGAAAAAATATTCATATTCTTTATCATTCCTCCGGCTTCTGCCCATCCCTGCTATCTTCTCCTTCAGATTCCACGCTCTCTAGTGACAATTTGACATTAGCAGGACAACTTTTAGGCCTGTTATCCTTGTAGGTGTCTCTGTATGTGGTGCCGAACTCCATAGTTTGATTCTTAAACAGGGTACGGTGTTCAGAAATCTGCCGACAGAGTTTAGCACGCTCAGAGTGGTTACCTGCAAAGATAAAAAGATAAAGGTGCAACAGCAGCAGTATGACGTAGACTTAAGACAGTTTTCTTGTAAGAAGGATTGTGGTATGTCCACTTGGCCTAGACATACCTGTATAATGCGCACGCTGTGTAGACTGACATATCATCCGCTCTTTAGGGGGCTCGTACTCCTGCTTGAAAAGAAAGGATTTGGTGGCCTCCTCCAGTGGTATGCCTTTGAAGTTGTTCTGGTAAGTGGTCTCCTGGCCCGCATCTCCAGACGCTACATGACGTATAATATCTTGGTTATGCTTATTTTTAATCAGGGACGGTGGTAGATTGCTACCCGGATGTTTGAAATCGACCTGAAATAAAATGAAGATCCATCAGTTTTGTTAGTTGACTTGAATGGTGTTTCATTAGGTGCATAAAAATCTTAGTTATTTACCACCGGAAAAGAATTAATGTAACAACGTTTACCGCATATGTGCTATCTGTCTGCATAAAGGTCTGTGGGCGTTTGTAGGGAGGCTTCACAGTCCAATGCGGCTTCTCGGGAAAGGCGACAGGCCACACCTTGTAGGCAATGCCGGCCGTCGTGTTGCCGTCAAAAGGAGCATCTATAAAGTGATAATCTGACTCGGGAGGTTTACACATTGTGCGTCGACGAACGTTGTAATGAGGCCGAAAGTCGGCCATGAAAGTTGTCATCAGTCCTTGAACAGGTGACTCAGCGTTGGTTTCTTTGGTTTCCGACTCGACCGCCGGTGCGGAATTTTGGTCACCACTGTCGCCCGTGGTTTCCGTCTTGGGTTGGAGGGCCTCTGGAAGCATCATCTTGGTAACCACACAGTTCGTGTTTATCACCTTTCCTACAGTCAAAGGAATACTGTCAGTTCAATTGCAATTTGACTATTTTGTCATATTTTAGTTATAATATCTTCCCATGACTTTATTTCACCGACATCTGATCCGTACACTACGTCGTACCGCGACCCTTAAAAATCCCCATATCAGTAACCATTGGACGAAGCGTTATACACATGTCATTTGTAGACCAATGTTAAAATAGAAAAGAAAGGTAACACGGGTAGCGAATCAACGGTACAGAAACGAGTTTGACAGAGTTTAGACGGAGATGAAAATTTTAACAGGATTACTAACTTGAATATGTGGGGAGCTCTTTTTTGGTGTAAAATTCTTTGTAGCTGGTGGTACTTTCCAGGGGCTCAGTGGATGGTTTGTTGTTCTCCTCTTGCTTGATTGGTTTTCTCTTCACTGTATTCTCATGCTTCTGGTAGTCGTTCTGGAATAAAGAACGCAAAAAGATGACAACAAAAACATTGTTCTGTATTGAAGACCAGGCGAATCCTGCTATAAACGGTTAAGATTAGTAAATATGCTACATGTACGTGGAGATACGAATAAACCGGGTATGTCTTATGGTAAAAACAATACTTAAATTGGATGTAATGTTGACACATATTCATATGCAAGCGTGTGAAATCGTCATTTGGAATATACTGGAGGTTTGTATTCTGTCGTATCTAACATGAGAAATAATGGCAGTACCCTGAATGTAGAGGCGGGAGTTGCTTTATGCTCTCCGCTCTTGAGGGCTTCAGCTGGACGGATGGGTGAGGGGCGACATTGCTTTGCCAGGTCCGGCTCAAAATGCTGATAAGACATCTGGTATATGGACTTGCCCTTGAACTTAGTAACGGGGGCGCTGTACTCCTTGTATGTCTTGAAAGGCTCAGCCCGGAGCGCCACCTACAACAAAACCATTTCCAATGTAGAAAAAAGTCACTATTAAACGAATAGATACTAGAAATGTTCTTATAATTTAGACCAATGCTGTACAGAGACTATTCCTAAAAATATTTCGATGTCGGTGCTTTGAAGTGTGGTACTTTTTTACCAGTATATGGCATACGGAAGGAAGGGAATGAAATCTGATAGAACGACAGTAGAAGTCTTATCCTGTTTGACCAGCCAGTTTATTCTACATGACACTCCTGAAAAGTACAAGGAGTAAAAGACCAGGTGTTCCAGATGTCACGTTTTCAAATGAGAACACCGTATGCAACAACAGAACAAAGAGGCAAACTAACAAGCATCAAACACGAGCAAAGAAATCATTTTCATCAACCTGCATCGTGATAATGGGAACAAGCCCTTGAATATCGAATCAACTGCGACATGTAACATCATAGGTTTGGTATGCAAAGATTTTGCTATCAAGAAATGTGAAATTCACAATATGGAAATTGAAATCATCATGCTTATCACACAGATTGATGGACAGCTGTCCATGTTGGTTTCGTTTAGGAAATGATGAAGATAAATGACTGGTGTAGAAGATCCTGTCGTGTCCTTGATTTCCAATTCTTGTGGGTATATACGATGTACATGGTCGATAAATGTCTTGCTTTTCCAAGTCGTCATCAATATATATCTGAAGTGAAGGTCTTCTGTGACCTGTTTTGATCAGCTCTTCGGTAAATCCAGGCTCGTATGAAAACAAAAGGTAAGTCAGCCAACAGAAGGACAAAATTAGTTCCCACGGCTATGCCAATATTATGTTGGAAGATCTTACTACCACACTCAACGAAGATGTTGTCAATCAATATGTTAGCGTCCCTCGTATATTTCTTATGTTGAAACATTTTTCACGAAATCCACTTCAGTAAAGTTCCCAACCATATGTTTGCACCGCCATTCACTTTTCTTGGGAAAGAAGTTCCAAAAAATGCAACGAAGGCGTTTTTATCAGTTTATAATGGAGTATGGTGATGTACAGATTTGAAAAGCAAATGTTCTCATAGAAGAAATGCTTTCAGAAGAGGCTGTTGTAGATTAGTCAAAAGCCATTTTGAGTTCTTTAAAATCCGCATAATATTCCACTTCTAGACAGACGTGCTATGTGCTGGGGTCAATTTTTGCTAACCGGAGCTCTCCATAGATGACCCAAACCTGGCAGTACCTCATGGGAATTGTGTCTTGACTTGCAAGCGGTGCGCATGAAAGTCTGAGATGCCCTCGGCCAAATTTGCAATATGCAAATCTTATGGATAAGTCGGGTGAGTTTGCCCGAAGAGGTCCACGAAGAAAATTGGGGAAAGCAGGTTGTGACCTTGTCACGCCAGCACGTGTCAGTGGTGGGCATTTTACGGTCATTCTCTCGCATGTGGCGAGATATACGATGAATGTGGAGACATATTTCGGGTCTGTTACTGTTTTAATTGTGATAAACTGAGACTGAGAAGTTGTTGACTTTCTGTTCTCACTTCTGCATAAAGATAGTCCCAACAGAGGAAATTCTACAGTTGTTACTCTTGTCATACATGAACACCGTTGCTCAGGTTGTTTGTTGTGTTGTGACCGGCTCTCAGAAGACGCCTACGAGTCGTATGGGTGTTCTTCATGGATGACTTCCCGCAGCTTTTATAGATGGCCCGGACCTAATACGTACCTGTCTGAATGTTCTCACACGTCAATCCAAGGGCCTGGCACACATGTCACACGAAACACACGTACATGTATATGTTAGTTCCACACAGTCACAAGCAAAGTATTCGCGAAATTCATCCAAATATCGGCCCGTCATCGGAAATTATCCTGTGCACTGCAAAGTCCCCACATGCACGAATCCCATGCAACCTACCCGGAACGGTGTGACTAAGTATCATTGTATTCGATCGACAATACATTTTCTGGTTACAGTTTTATCTGGTGGTGGTTTGCTCAAGTTCTTCAAAGAAAAAATGTCTACTGTTATCATAACATGCATATATATATATATGTCCGTGTATGGAGTTATCCCTCCTTCAGTCATGATGAACTAGATGATAATACAGAAAGATGATAATGTTTTCTGCGAGTGGAAAGCCTTGATCCAGCTGACCTACCTTTGGCGCGAAGTCTACTTTGTATGTTGTATCCGTCAGCAGAACGCCTCCTGCTGTTCGGTACACATATTCTTTTTTCTTTTCTCTCTTTGATGCCTACAGTAACAAGGGAAAACACTGTCAGTAAACAACTATTGTTATTTGTTTTTATCATCATTAACTCATTCCTGCAAGCGAAACTAATTCCTTATTGAGAAATGCGAAGTATATTTTTTTCCTTCAGGTGGAACATGACGACAAAGATATGACAAACCTCGTGGACGACATAATCCGTTCTGTAGGTGGTGTCCATATCCATGTCACATATGGAGGCAGGTATCTCCAGGTGGTTGCTCTCGGGTTTGATGTTGGTTCTTGGCCGTTGGAAGGGCCATTTCGTGTACGACTAGAAACAGCAGACATTAACATTAATAACTGGATATGGTTTTATTTACAGTCAGAAATGCATTGAGGAAATTTAGACAATTATACTAGGCAGTCCATCTGAATATAAGGTGTGTAAATGAAAACTAGTTGTAAGAGGCGAAAACACAAGAAAAGGACAAACATGTGTAATTAGATTCTCCGAGACAACACGATCAACTATAGACGGCGTGTAGTGAAAACGTACGGGTAATTTTGATTAAAATAATTTATTTCTGAATCGTTGAGAAAATAATTAATTCATGATAGGAATAAATCAATGACAGGGAAATTGTCAAACTGATCAAACATATCGCCTAAAGTTGTTATATATCGATAAAGGAATGGAGATATGGTACCGGACACGACCGGGTAGAAAGAGATGGGTCGTAGATTCACATCTTCATCAGTGGATGACAAGGAATGGGACGGATGTGGTGAGGGTAGAGTTAGTGAGTAGTGAGGGTGCCTGTAAGGGCGAAGTTGATGAGGGTACCTGTAAGGGCGAAGTTAATGAGTGTGATTGTTAGGGTGGAGTTAGTGAGTGTGACTGTTAGGGTGGAGTTTGTGAGAGTGCCTGAAGGGCGGAGTTGGTGAGTGTGACAGTTAGGTTGGGGTTGATGAGGGTGCCTGTTAGGGCGGAGTTAGTGAGTGTGACATTTAGGGTGGAGTTAGTGAGTGTGACAGTTAGGGTGGAGTTAGTGAGTGTGACAGTTAGGGTGGAGTTAGTGAGTGTGACAGTTAGGGTGGAGTTAGTGAGTGTGACTGTTAGGATGGGGTTGATGAGGGTGCATGTTAGGGTGGAGTAAGTGAGTGTGACAGTTAGGGCGGAGTTGATGAGGGTGTCTGATTGGGTGGAGTTAGTGAGTGTGACTGTTAGGGTGGGGTTGATGAGGGTGCATGTTAGGGTGGAGTTAGTGAGTGTGACAGTTAGGGTGGAGTTAGTGAGTGTGACAGTTAGGGTGGAGTCGATGAGGGTTCCTGCTAGGGTGGAGTTAGTGAGTGTGACAGTTAGGGTGGAGTTAGTGAGTGTGACAGTTAGGGTGGAGTTAGTGAGTGTGACAGTTAGGGTGGAGTTAGTGAGTGTGACTGTTAGGATGGGGTTGATGAGGGTGCATGTTAGGGTGGAGTAAGTGAGTGTGACAGTTAGGGTGGAGTTAGTGAGTGTGACAGTTAGGGTGGAGTTAGTGAGTGTGACAGTTAGGGTGGAGTTAGTGAGTGTGACAGTTAGGGTGGAGTTAGTGAGTGTGACAGTTAGGGTGGAGTTAGTGAGTGTGACAGTTAGGGCGGAGTTGATGAGGGTGTCTGTTTGGGTGGAGTTAGTGAGTGTGACTGTTAGGGTGGGGTTGATGAAGGTACATGTTAGGGTGGAGTTAGTGAGTGTGACAGTTAGGGTGGAGTTAGTGAGTGTGACAGTTAGGGTGGAGTTAGTGAGTGTAACAGTTAGGGTGGAGTTAGTGAGTGTGACTGTTAGGGTGGAGTTGATGAGGGTATCTGTTTGGGTGGAGTTAGTGAGTGTGACTGTTAGGGTGGGGTTGATGAAGGTGCATGTTAGGGTGGAGTTCGTGAGTGTGACAGTTAGGGTGGAGTTAGTGAGTGTGACAGTTAGGGTGGAGTTAGTGAGTGTGACAGTTAGGGTGGAGTTAGTGAGTGTGACAGTTATGGCGGAGTTGATGAGGGTGCCTGCGTGGAGTTGATGAGGGTGCCTGTTAGGGTGGAGTTAGTGAGTGTGACAGTTAGGGTGGAGTTAGTGAGTGTGACAGTTAGGGTGGAGTTAGTGAGTGTGACAGTTATGGCGGAGTTGATGAGTGTGACAGTTAGGGTGGAGTTAGTGAGTGTGACAGTTAGGGTGGAGTTAGTGAGTGTGACAGTTATGGCGGAGTTGATGAGGGTGCCTGTTAGGGTGGAGTTAGTGAGTGTGACAGTTAGGGTGGAGTTAGTGAGTGTGACAGTTAGGGTGGAGTCAGTGAGTGTGACTGTTAGGCTGGAGTTAGTGAATGTGACTGTTAGGATGGAGTTAGTGAGTGTGACTGTTAGGGCGGAGTTGTTGAGTGTGAGTTAGGGTGGAGCTAGTGAGTGTGACAGTTAGGGAGGAGATTGTGAGAATGAATTGGTAAGAATGATTGATCGGTGAATTTTGTGAGTGTGATTGTTAGGGTTGAGTTAGTGAGTGTGACTGTTAGGGTGGGGTTGATGAGGGTGCCTGTTAGGGTGGAGTTAGTGAGTGTGACAGTTAGGGTGGAGTTAGTGAGTGTGACTGTTAGGATAGAGATTGTGAGTGTGAGTGTTAGGGTGGTGCTGGTGAGTGAGACTGTTAGGATAGAGATTGTGAGTGTGACTGTTAGGGTGGTGCTGGTGAGTGAGACTGTTAAGATAGAGATTGTGAGTGTGACTGTTAGGGTGGTGCTGGTGAGTGAGACTGTTAGGATAGAGATTGTGAATGTGACTGTTAGGGTGATGTTGGTGAGTGTGACTGTTAGGGTGATGTTGGTGAGTGAGACTGTTAGGATAGAGATTGTGAGTGTGAGTGTTAGGGTGATGTTGGTGAGTGAGACTGTTAGGATAGAGATTGTGAATGTGACTGTTAGGGTGATGCTGGTGAGTGAGGCTGTTAGGGTGATGTTGGTGAGTGAGACTCTTAGGATAGAGATTGTGAATGTGACTGTTAGGGTGATGTTGGTGAGTGTGACTGTTAGGATAGAGATTGTGAATGTGACTGTTAGGGTGGTGCTGGTGAGTGTGACTGTTAGGATAGAGATTGTGAGTGTGAGTGTTAGGGTGGTGCTGGTGAGTGAGACTGTTAGGATAGAGATTGTGAGTGTGACTGTTAGGTTGGTGCTGGTGAGTGAGACTGTTAAGATAGAGATTGTGAGTGTGACTGTTAGGGTGGTGTTGGTGAGTGAGACTGTTAGGATAGAGATTGTTATGGTGGAATTGGTGTGTATTACTTACAGCCTGGTACTCGGATCTCCCGTCACTCTGGGTCTGAGTAAGCTTAAGCCCCGAACGTCGCGCGTCCCATGCCGGGATCTGACTTCGATTTCTGGGAGTTTAGGAAAGAAAGCAAATGATAATTTTCCTTCTTAACTCCTTTTACTCTTAATTTTTATTTAGTTATCATTGTTTGTCAGTTTTTCTGTTTGTCGGACTCCAATATTCAACGACAATAATCGTAATTTGTGATATATATATGAACATCATGATACTTTGTATGAAATATGATATTAGTCGGTGTTTATAGTATCCGATGATACAATAACAAATATATATCCTTACGTGGCAAATAAACCTTATCATTTATGCATCACCAAAACATCAAAATATTTATCATTCTAGTGAAATATATCCATGTTTTTATGAAGGAACTTACCTGGGAATATCCTTCAACATACTCGAAACGCCCACAGTTCGTTGATAAGGCTGACAATACTTGTGGACATTACTTATTAATTAGTACATTGTAATTTAAGGCGCCAAAATATCATTCATTGAAGTATCTTTAGCTACGAAATCACAGGAAGAAATTTCAATAAATATTCACATATCTTATATGCGACAAAACGTGTAAGTATGTCATACGTAACGTCATTATGTATTTTTTTTTTTTTTACATTTTTTGCTCGAGAAGCTGTGTACAGACTGAACGTTTGACCAAATGATATACCTGAATATCAAATGTGCTGTTGTACCACAATAGAAATAGAAAAATCGTAATTTTCCCAAATGAACGCGTTACCTATCTTTTTTACTGGTAGAAAAAATGTCATAGACAGATAATATATAACGACTTCAAGAGGGATACTTTTAGATTATAACTGTATTTCCATATTTTTAAATAAGTGTCATATTCACCTATGTGTTTGACTCATTTACCATTGCTAACCATTTGACGGAAGTGATAAGTCACAAGACAATCAACTGTAAAGTCACCTGATCAGCAGCCATTTGAGACATGGCGCAGATTACAACAAATGTAGCGTTTTTTGTTTTTTTTTTAATTCTGTTGTTTTATATTTCTATACATTTTGATAAATTGTACACGCACATTTCCGCTAAATGTAATCTATGGATCGGTTTGATCTGATATAGGGTTTAGTTTGGAAATATTGGATGAAGTCAGCAACTGGCAATGACGACACCAACATTTTTAAAAGCCACATGTCGGACCAAATTTGTATGAAAATTGTTTAAAAGATTCATTAAATTTAAGCTACATATGTCAAGACGAATTAAAACACAGAACCTTACTGCAAACACAAATTCGATGAAACGAGGGAAACATGCGGACAAAGTAAGGATTTACGCAGAGACTCGTGAAAGAGTACTCCAGCTGTTTCGGAAGGTTTAAGCTTTCACGCTTCATCGAAGACGCGCCGTTCAAATCATAGTCAAGGAAAAAAAGTAATGTCATGTTCCTAAGAAAAGAACAAGGTTAACAACAACGTAACCACTAGGCATACTAACGAGAATCAAGCACGTCCAGCTTCATATCGCGTAAGATTCTCAATGAGATCACTATGACGACTGTGAAGCTTTACCATAATCTCCATCAACAGGCATCGTCTATCAGATATCGATATCCTGCACTAAAAATGGTTATATTGTGATCAAGCCTTTATATATCGAATCAACTGCGACATGTTAACACCATAGCTCTCCATATTTGTTTCGTTGTAGGCAAAGAGATAAGCGACTGAGGCAGAAGAGTTTATCGTGTCCATCAATGGACATCGTACAGTCAATAAAGTGTTATCTAAAGAGAAGACAGTATTAGATATTAGATAAATAGCCATATATGAAACAGCAAAACAATCTAGCTAAAAGAAGGACAGTTTGTTCCCATAGGTGTCACAATATTAACAAGTCTATTAAAGATGTTTTCAACAAGGAATTCGATCATTTTTAGGCTAAACGTACTCAGTACGCATAGCCTATTGCTACGGCCTTTCAGACAAAATTTACCGATTCTGGCCTTCTCATTGGCTGAAATATCGAAAAGAGTTAGAGCCCTCTAGCGGCAATTTTCTGCGTAAATAATGCCGCGATCTTTCAAATCACTATTTTAAAAGAATCCAAAATTAGTTTATTTTTTAATAACAATACAATTACTATATATTTAAAAAAGAAGCACAGTGTGGTTGAACTATTGATAAATTTTGAACAATATATTTTACGGAATTCTCGACATGACGTAAGCGTACAGAACACTGTACGTGCGAGTTGATAAAAAGCTAGTCTGGGTGCTTGGTTTGAATTATCAACTAACAGCACTTATAAACAAACAAAACTTACAAACAGAACATCAGTTTTGTTTTAATCCTTGTCGCTGTGGCAAGATCGTCTTAATATATAACATCACTTTACCTCAGTAGACGTCACCGAATTGGACTGTTCGTCCCACGCGCACACCCGCCGATATGACACCTTTTTCAGGTTTTTCACACCCACCGCCATGACACCTTTTCAAGTTTTTGAAGATAAAAAGTTTGCGCTTCGTAGGCAAGGTACATTTGGTGCTCATGATTTATGAATAATATATTTTTAATACTGTACTGATCATGATGTTGACTCTGTCATAACTTATATTTTTTGTCTTTTAGTTTTATTTGATGAAGGTTGCTTGTGCTGATTTCTCAGGGTTTGTTATGTGTATCAAAGTTCCTTGAATTGAAAACATTTCTTCAAACAAAGCGCGTATTAAAAAAACAAAATATTCATGTTTATAATTATCAATTAACTAGAACGAAATACTTCCATAACATATTTATTCATTTAGCGTGTCATGGTGACATTATCTAATGCATTGGAGATCAGAAATAGTAGTAGCTATAGTGAAAATATTGTAAATTTTGTATATATATGGAAGTCTGGTTTAATCTCAAAGAACTATGTCTTTATAGACATAATTACTGCAAGAAAAGTCTAACCATGATACTTCTAGGAAGATAGGCATGTAAATACATCTAATGTAATTACTTACACTTTAATCTACATGAAATGCTGTGTACACCTTATCTACTTTCCTCAACTACAAATATAATTACAATAAGTAAGGACTATTACTTTGCAATACATTCAAAATAAAGAAGTAGGTATAAAGTCCTTTCGATTTGTCTAAATCCTCATATTGATAGGATAGTAATTGCAACATCTTGGGTATTTCAAAGGTTTTATTTAGTCAACTTCATCATAGAGCTATTTATCATTTGGCTTCTTGGCGATAAATATATGGTTGTGTGTATTTTGTTATTTTTTTACCTATTTTGATTTGTTCACATTATTGTCGTCAAATTTGAAATAAGAATTAAAGAAGATATAAAATCGCTTAAAATTAAGAAAAATAGCCTCTGGTTCTCTTATTTTAGTAATTTTTGCATTCCAAAGTGTAGGAGTATGGGGAAAGTAATATAGCTTTGCGGTTATTTGTGAACATTTTTCAATACGTTTAACCTTTCAGTACTTTCAGTACTTTGATTACATTTGGAAGTCCATATATTTCCTCTTTGGTTTTCGCGTATCCTTCACGAAATACGCTACAGTATAGTTCACAACTTCGCAGCATCGTTCATCTTTCCTTGAATACAAAACTTTCTGAACAAGGGAACGAAGGCGCTCCTTCAGTGTGGAATAAATTGTGGTAATGTCCAGAGTAAAACAGATACTGCTCTGACAGATAGGTTAGCTAGAATAAGGTAGTCACTTCACTAGCAAACAGTATCACAATAAAACTGCATTCTGATTACGTAGTACTCGAATGGTAATAAGAAACTTTGGTGAAGGTGTGACTGATCTAAACGAGCTGATAGTAAAATTATGTTTATATGGATTCTTGCGAACTTAAAAATCCAATATAAACGAAACTACAGTTTTAGTGTTACTGCATCCGGTACAAGGCAACTCTGAAGAGTCGTTACGGTCATCACAACCATATATGGCGCAGAAGTGTCAATCATCTACTATAACGCTCTAATGAAGTAATAAGAACAGTTCTACAGATCTCTAGATATCATGTTATCTTGTTTAAAACTGTATTTTTTCTGTACAGTCATGGCAAACCAATTCAAAATGTCACTCAATCAAGGGGTAATATAAATGTTGATCCTTTACTTCACAAAATCATAGAATATTTTTCTTTTATGTTTGGTTTTATCACTTAAGGTATATCTTACATAATCCTTATTTCATATGTGTTGTATTTATGATATCTTTTCGTGGTATGTCTTACTGTAGATATGAGCCTAAGATTACAGGTTATTGTATATATATTATACAAAGATATTATATATAGTTATTCGATGAACATGTAAGATATCTTATGTGAACATACATAAAACAAATCATAAACCGACACGATATCTTATATAGAATATACTAATTTTATAGCACAGGTTTACATTTATTCACGAAGCAGTCGATCCGATATTTAACGGATTTATTATGAGCCATCATCAATCTCTCCGCCCTTGTCGGATACAAACCATTTCAGTCAAGTTTTCGAGTGCCATTAAAAAACTGTAGGGTCGTTACATGTTGCTGCATCTGAAAACCCATTCATATTGACGATGGAACCGTCATCTTGAACATGTAGTCTCAGCTAGAACAACAAACCTTTTCAAAAACAGAATTGAAAAGCTTTGGGACAACCACCCTCTGCGGTTCGATTTTACAGCAAGCTATGGACCAGATACCGAAAGGATGACAATTCATTACACTGCGTTTACGGACAATTCCGAGCTGCTTATGGTGGTTCAGTAGATAATGTAGGCGAAAACAACATAGGGTAGCATAAGGTAAGGTAAAACCGTGTACTCGATGGTCTATGAACTCGACAATTTCTTTTGTGATATATTTCATTACGTACCTTGCTTTTTGTGGCCTTTTCGACGACGCTACTGCCGTAGCGACAGACATGTTACTAGTAAAACAGAGTGAATATCAAGATCCAGCATACCCAGCGGCCATTGTTGATTTTGTAACTATGTGACATGACGTCATAGGCATTACTGCGTCATAAAAGGTATCACGTGATGTCATTTTAATCAGAATGATGATTTCAAGTAATTATCAAGAAGATTACACAAATGGGACGTACATATATGTATGAATGGTCAGTCAAACGTCAGAGAAGTCTCGCTCATTCGATAACTTTGAAGTAAAGTGATCAAAACTCACAAAATATTTTTTGTCGATGTGCCTTTATTTCCTGATAATGATTAGATCTTCAGTTCCCGGAAGTCATATGGCAATTTATTACAATTTTTTTCGTATCGAAGATTATTAAATGCCAAGTTATAAGACATAGGACATAAATTTCTTAACACTTCGCACGAAGCAGTGATTATTTCTCAAAGCATGTTTCAACAAATCTACAGCTATTACATGATAAAAATGTTCCCTTTTTTGTTTAATTCATATTTGAGACCTTTGACTAATCGTTTGTTAACTATAAACAAACTTTGGACAGCCATGCCAGTGATTTAATTAAAACGTCGATATTAATAAAAATAACTGAAGCATCTCATATCTGACGAAGGTCACCACTGGACTGGCGACATATACCATCGATCACCCACCAATAACTCAACAATCGTTTAAAAATATCGATTATGTGGAAATTTTTTCAATAATATATACATTAAAGATATTAATTGTCTACCGAATGAGCTCAAAATATGTAATTTTGTTTGGAAAAAAACCCACTTATTTTACTTATGGTATAACGCGCAACTGTTCGTGGATTTCTATCATCTTAATACATTTACATGATCGAGTCTTGACTTGCAAACGCGAAATTTTTAAACAAGAAATTTCTTTATTGTTGATAAATACATGTATAGGATGCTAGAGAGAGCGTAATAAGGGAGTTAACTACCACTACGATCCATCGGAATTCTTCTGTGTCGTGAGTTAGAAAGCAGTCACTGTTTACTTTCTGCCGGTACTGCAAGAATGCCGAGCAATAAGGAAGGTAAGTGTTATGGACCAATTTTCAGGATGAACTTATTCATAGCTATGGCCAGACGAAAATGTGAGCATTAAGCTCTTCTCTAGTAAACGACTCCTATCTGGAATTTTGAATAACTGAACTTTTTTCACATCATCATCTGATCATGTTACGAATGCTGTTTTCAACATGTAGCCTTTGTAGTAGGGTCCCGAACCTCCCTTCCGTTTTATATACAACATGTAACATGCACATGTGATCTACGACGAACAGAAATACGGAACGTTATTGACAAATGTATCTTCGTGTACAACGTAAAATTACTTATGATCAGTGATGGTTCGCATGGCTGCAAACTACTTCCATCTAGTCCAGATGATCTCTGACTTTCTATATAGCTATCTGCATCAAAATATCTTTGCCTGTAGATGGTCCATGTTGTGCATTCACAAAACACTTATACTACAGAATGAGAAAGATAAGCATGGACAGAATGTTTTTCAGATTAATATGATTTCTTGTGTTTCACACTAAATTGGTGGAACTGTACAATTGTATTAGTGTCATGCTGATGGTACAAGTACATGTATGATGGTATGAGGATTGATGAATAAAAAAACTTTCATAAATGACACGAGTCCTGACCAACAAACAGTTCTTTAATCTACAGTGTACTCTACTACCATCATCAGATTCATTGTTGACAATTTTTAAGATATTGTACTGTATTGTTATAGAGCGGGCGACCCAGATGTATGCAGCCCTAGGTATAGGGTTTGTATGTGTTGTGATTGGGATTCCATTGTGGTGGAAAACAACAGAAGTTTACCGTGTCAGCCTGCCTTATAGAGAAATTGCAGATATTTCAAAAACAATGGTGAGAAAATCATCTGAAATTTTGAGTCATATGATATTAATTTGTATGATATATATTTGAAGTTGATGCAGCGTAGCAAACATTTGTCATTCTATAACAAAATGTCATTGTAGGCGATGTAGAAAATGAGATATTACAGAAAGATTGCTTGAAAATGACGCAGACTGAGATCAATTGTTCTTGAGCATATACCAGAAACAATAAAATTTTATTGAAAAAAAAAGAGGTCAATATCAGTTATTTTTATTTTCTAAATCTTTGATTTTCGACCATAGATCAGGATGAAGAATGAACATTCCATATCATAAATCTATAGAGTTAACTTCAGAAAGAAATGTTGATTTAAATAAAGCAGTTTTCTTTCAAAAATCGTTACTGATTAACTGTTACAGATTAAGTATACAGTGGATCTTGATATCATCAATGGAGACCAATCTCTGTCAGGAGACCATATCACACAACTTTCTCGTCTGTTGTCAGATAAACTGGGTAAGTCACATGTGTATCACACAACTTTCTCGTCTGTTGTCAGATAAACTGGGTAAGTCACATGTATATCACACGATTCTCTTGTCTGTTGTCAGATAAACTGGGTAAGTCACATGTATATCACACGATTCTCTTGTCTGTTGTCAGATAAACTGGGTAAGTCACATGTATATCACAAGATTCTCTTGTCTGTTGTCAGATAAACTTGGTAAGTCACATGTGTATCACACAACTTTCTCGTCTGTTGTCAGATAAACTGGGTAAGTCACATGTATATCACACAACTCTCTTGTCTGTTGTCAGATAAACTGGGTAAGTCACATGTATATCACAAGATTCTCTTGTCTGTTGTCAGATAAACTTGGTAAGTCACATGTGTATCACACAACTTTCTCGTCTGTTGTCAGATAAACTGGGTAAGTCACATGTATATCACACAACTCTCTTGTCTGTTGTCAGATAAACTGGGTAAGTCACATGTATATCACACAACTCTCTTGTCTGTTGTCAGATAAACTGCAGTTGGCAGTTATATAATACTTGGTAAGTTTTATAGACAGAAAAATGCTCAAATATGTCATTCATTGTTATATTGTTAGTAATATCACTACAGGTTCGCTCTGTGACTACAATAGGTCTTTTCCTTTTCTTTCACTTTCAAATTTCATATTTCTTATAGAAATCTATAATATGTTGGATTGTGTTCATGACAATGATGCAGTACTATTTAACAGAAATATTTTATTTTCTTAAAGAGACAAGAGAAGCTGAAGTAGCACCATATTACCGCTTGAATATACGTGATGCTACAGAAAAAGAGCTGGCAAAGGTCAAGGCCATGACCTCTACATCAGGTAGGTTAAAAATATACATCATTAAGATAATTTTGTGTTCAGATTTTTGGTTGTGTCAAGGTACTTTTTTGTGAATTCAAGTACAATTTAGTACCAGAATGATCGTTTAAGTGCACAACAGTATCAGAAGGATCATTTTAGTGATAACAGTACCGGAAGGATCATTTTAGTGATAACAGTACCAGGAGGATCAGTTTAGTGATAACAGTACCAGAAGGATCAGTTTAGTGATAACAGTACCAGAAGGATCAGTTTAGTGATAACAGTACCAGAAGGATCAGTTTAGTGATAACAGTACCAGAAGGATCATTTTAGTGATAACAGTACCAGAAGGATCATTTTAGTGATAACAGTACCAGAAGGATCAGTTTAGTGATAACAGTACCAGAAGGATCAGTTTAGTGATAACAGTACCAGAAGGATCAGTTTAGTGATAACAGTACCAGAAAGATCATTTTAGTGATAACAGTACCAGAAAGATCATTTTAGTGATAACAGTACCAGAAGGATCATTCTAGTGATAACAGTACCAGAAGGATCATTCTAGTGATAACACTACTGGAATTATTGTTTTGTTTTATTTATTTCATGTTATTGGTTTAATTCTGAGGCCCTCTTGAGCTCTATGATCTTCTCTGTAACAGATGTGGATGGTCAGTTTGTGTCTGGGGAAGATGGCATCAACAGGTACCAGGTGGTGATAATCCCGAAGATATCTCCTTTGTCATTACAAAAGCCATTCCTTAGTCTTGGTAGAACAGTGCTGGTAAAGTCTGCAGGATCTTCAGGTAAGTACAGCCAGTCACATAAACCTACCTTACTCTCAGTGGAACAGTGGTAGTACAATCTGTGCCATCTTCAAGAAGGTTCAGTTTATCACAACAAAACTTACCTCACTCTCAGTGGAACTGTGTTAGTGCAGTCACTGGGATGGATAAGACATACTTCAGTCATTATTGGACATAGTCTTACAAATATCATGCCTGATTTTCTGAAATGCATATTTGTTGTAATTGCCATTTACACCGGTTCCATTATATTTGCTTTGACAGCATCCTTTGTTTGACAACTGTCAGCTGTGTGTAACTAGTACTTTTGTATTCTACTATCTGAAACATGATAGTGCAAATTTCAATGGCAGGTTCCATCTTGAAAAAAAGCCTAGTCTTATTGTATAAGGAGTTTGCCTGGGACCTTTTTCTCAGAACATTTTCTTTATTTTTACAGATATTCAAAGTTTGGCTGATAGGATATCAAGAGTTACTCAGGACAGTTTGGTAAAGGAAGAATCTCTAAGTAAGGCTTTCCATACTGGAAAAGGTACTGGGGACAGAACCCTAAAGGTAGGTATTGAGACAGAACCCTTAAGGTAGGCACTGGGACAGAACACTTAAAGTAGATACTAGGAACAGAACCCTAAAGGGAGGTACTGGGGACAGAACCCTTAAAGTAGGTATTGGGGACAGAACCCTTAAGGTAGGTACTGGGACAGAACCCTTAAAGTAGATACTAGGGACAGAACCCTAAAGGTAGGTACTGGGGAAAGAACCCTTAAGATAGGTATTGGGAAAAACCCTTAAGGTAGGTACTAGGGATAGAACACTAAATGTAGGTACTGGGGACAGCACCCTGAAAGTAAGCACTAAGAAGAACAGAACCCTTGAAGGAGGTACTGGGGAAAGAACCCTGAAGGTGGGTCCTGTGGACAGAATCCTTAAGGGAGGTACTAGGGACAGAACCCTTACAGTAGGTGCTGAGAGCAGAACCCTTAAAAGAGGTACTGGGGACAGAACCCTTGAGGTAGATACTGGGAACAGAACCCTTAAGGTAGGTACTGGGGACAGAACTCTTAAAGTAGGTAACAGGGACAGAACCTTTGAGGCAGACACAAGTACACAAAACCTTTCAGGCAGACACAAGTACACAGAACCTTTCAGGCAGACACAAGTACACAGAACCTTTGAGGCAGGCACAAGTACACAGAACCTTTGAGGCAGACACAAGTAGATAGAACCTTTCAGACAGACACAAGTACATAGAATCTAAAACGTTGATATTGATATTTCCCCTTGATAGTAGTTAATGGCACACTAATGATTAACAATATTTATGCATTTTGTTTGGGAAAATGATCATTTAAAATCATTTTGAATTATAATTTGGCCATATGTGCATTTCTTTTTGGTTCATCCAGCCAGAGAAGTCAAGTATGAGATCTGTACGGTCAAATCCAAGTTATGACATCACTTTCACACTAGTCAATCCTCAGCCAGATATCCTTGATGTCCAGTGGGATATAGAAGAAGCTGTCAAAGGTAAGTATCACAGATTTGTAACTCTTGACAGGTAAGATTATATTTTATCACAAGACTGCCACGTTTCCACTGTACAGATCTGTGTCATCTTTTGGTGTAAGAATTCTCCTGTACAATCCTATATATATCATCTGTTTTATAATGACTGTTATACAATACTTGTCCAGTTTTGCCTAGAATGATAAATATTTCTTTTAAAACAGAAAAAAAAGGGATGGAGCTGCAGGTCAATGTCTCAAAAAACTAAAGTACCATGTGACACACATCTTAAGTACCATGTGACACACATCTTAAGTACCATGTGACACACTTCTAAAGTACCATGTGACACACATCTTAAGTACCATGTGACACACTTCTAAAGTACCATGTGACACACTTCTAAAGTACCATGTGACACACTTCTAAAGTACCATGTGACACACATCTAAAGTACCATGTGACACACTTCCAAAGTACCATGTGACACACTTCTAAAGTACCATGTGACACTCTTCAAAAATACCATGTGACACACTTCCAAAGTACCATATGACACACTTCCAAAATACCATGTGACACACTTCCAAAGTACCATGTGACATATTTCCAAAACACCATGTGACACAAATCTACAGGACCTGATGACTCCTATCTGTAATACCATGTGACACAAATCTACAGGACCTGATGACTCCTATCTGTAATACCATGTGACACACTTCTAAAGTACCATGTGACACACTTCCAATGTACCATGTGACACACTTCCAAAATACCATGTGACACACTTCAAAAGTACCATGTGACATATTTCCAAAGTGCCAGTGACACACTTCCAAAGTACCATGTGAAACACTTCCAAAATACCATGTGACACACTTCAAAAGTACCATGTGACATATTTCCAAAGTACCATGTGACACACTTCCAAAGTACCATGTGACACACTACAGGATCTGATGACTCCTATCTGTAATACCATGTGACACACTTCTACAGGATCTGATGACTCCTATCTGTAATACCATGTGACACAATTGTAAGTACCATGTGACACACTATCTGTAATACCATGTGACACACAATACCATGTACAGGATCTAAAGATGACTCCTATCTGTAATACCATGTGACACAAATCTACAGGACCTGATGACTCCTATCTGTAATACCATGTGACACACAGGATCTGTGACTCCTATGACACTGTAATACCATGTGACACAATTGTACAGGATCTGATGAAATCTGTAATACCATGTGACACAAATATACAGGATCTGATGACTCCTATCTGTAATACCATGTGACACAATTGTACAGGATCTGATGACTCCTATCTGTAATACCATGTGACACAAATGTACAGGATCTGATGACTCCTATCTGTAATACCATGTGACACAATTGTACAGGATCTGAGGACTCCTATCTGTAATACCATGTGACACAAATCTACAGATCTGATGACTCCTATCTGTAATACCATGTGACACAATTGTACAGGATCTGATGACTCCTATCTGTAATACCATGTGACACAATTGTACAGGATCTGATGACTCCTATCTGTAATACCATGTGACACAATTGTACAGGATCTGATGACTCCTATCTGTAATACCATGTGACACAGTTGTACAGGATCGGATGACTCCTATCTGTAAAACCTTGTGACACAGTTGTACAGGATCTGATGACTCCTATCTGTAATACCATGTGACACAATTGTACAGGATCTGATGACTCCTATCTGTAATACCATGTGACACAATTGTACAGGATCTGATGACTCCTATCTGTAATACCATGTGACACAAATCTACAGGATCTGATGACTCCTATCTGTAATACCATGTGACACAAATCTACAGGATCTGATGACTCCTATCTGTAATACCATGTGACACAATTGTACAGAATCTGATGACTCCTATCTGTAATACCATGTGACACAAATCTACAGGATCTGATGACTCCTATCTGTAATACCATGTGACACAAATCTACAGGATCTGATGACTCCTATCTGTAATACCATGTGACACAAATCTACAGGATCTGATGACTCCTATCTGTAATACCATGTGACACAAATCTACAGGACCTGATGACTCCTATCTGTAATACCATGTGACACAAATCTACAGGACCTGATGACTCCTATCTGTAATACCATGTGACACAATTGTACAGGATCTGATGACTCCTATCTGTAATACCATGTGACACAAATCTACAGGATCTGATGACTCCTATCTGTAATACCATGTGACACAAATCTACAGGATCTGATGACTCCTATCTGTAATACCATGTGACACAATTGTACAGGATCTGATGACTCCTATCTGTAATACCATGTGACACAAATCTACAGGATCTGATGACTCCTATCTGTAATACCATGTGACACAAATCTACAGGATCTGATGACTCCTATCTGTAATACCATGTGACACAAATCTACAGGATCTGATGACTCCTATCTGTAATACCATGTGACACAAATCTACAGGATCTGATGACTCCTATCTGTAATACCATGTGACACAAATCTACAGGATCTGATGACTCCTATCTGTAATACCATGTGACACAAATCTACAGGACCTGATGACTCCTATCTGTAATACCATGTGACACAAATCTACAGGATCTGATGACTCCTATCTGTAATACCATGTGACACAAATCTACAGGATCTGATGACTCCTATCTGTAATACCATGTGACACAAATCTACAGGATCTGATGACTCCTATCTGTAATACCATGTGACACAAATCTACAGGACCTGATGACTCCTATCTGTAATACCATGTGACACAAATCTACAGGATCTGATGACTCCTATCTGTAATACCATGTGACACAAATCTACAGGATCTGATGACTCCTATCTGTAATACCATGTGACACAAATCTACAGGACCTGATGACTCCTATCTGTAATACCATGTGACACAAATCTACAGGACCTGATGACTCCTATCTGTAATACCATGTGACACAAATCTACAGGACCTGATGACTCCTATCTGTAATACCATGTGACACAAATCTACAGTAATACCATGTGACACAAATCTACAGGATCTGAGGACTCCTATCTGTAATACCATGTGACACAAATCTACAGATCTGATGACTCCTATCTGTAATACCATGTGACACAAATCTACAGGATCTGATGACTCCTATCTGTAATACCATGTGACACAAATCTACAGGATCTGATGACTCCTATCTGTAATACCATGTGACACAAATGTACAGGATCGGATGACTCCTATCTGTAATACCATGTGACACTGTAATACCTGATGACTCCTATCTGTAATACCATGTGACACAAATCTACAGGACCTGATGACTCCTATCTGTAATACCATGTGACACAAATCTACAGGATCTGATGACTCCTATCTGTAATACCATGTGACACAAATCTACAGGACCTGATGACTCCTATCTGTAATACCATGTGACACAAATCTACAGGACCTGATGACTCCTATCTGTAATACCATGTGACACAAATCTACAGGACCTGATGACTCCTATCTGTAATACCATGTGACACAAATCTACAGGACCTGATGACTCCTATCTGTAATACCATGTGACACAAATCTACAGGACCTGATGACTCCTATCTGTAATACCATGTGACACAAATCTACAGGACCTGATGACTCCTATCTGTAATACCATGTGACACAAATCTACAGGACCTGATGACTCCTATCTGTAATACCATGTGACACAAATCTACAGGACCTGATGACTCCTATCTGTAATACCATGTGACACAAATCTACAGGACCTGATGACTCCTATCTGTAATACCATGTGACACAAATCTACAGGACCTGATGACTCCTATCTGTAATACCATGTGACACAAATCTACAGGACCTGATGACTCCTATCTGTAATACCATGTGACACAAATCTACAGGACCTGATGACTCCTATCTGTAATACCATGTGACACAAATCTACAGGACCTGATGACTCCTATCTGTAATACCATGTGACACAAATCTACAGGACCTGATGACTCCTATCTGTAATACCATGTGACACAAATCTACAGGACCTGATGACTCCTATCTGTAATACCATGTGACACAAATCTACAGGACCTGATGACTCCTATCTGTAATACCATGTGACACAAATCTACAGGACCTGATGACTCCTATCTGTAATACCATGTGACACAAATCTACAGGACCTGATGACTCCTATCTGTAATACCATGTGACACAAATCTACAGGACCTGATGACTCCTATCTGTAATACCATGTGACACAAATCTACAGGATCTGATGACTCCTATCTGTAATACCATGTGACATGTCTTTTATTGTTACAGATTACCTTGATCCTTTTCTACAACAGTTGAACAAGTACGCTGAGATCAATGTTAAATCTCAGGTAAGGCAAAAATGTAATTATGAAATCAAGATAGTAATGACTAATTCTCAAATATTGAATCTCATCCAAATGTTCCTGTATCTATATGCACTAGCTTTACTGATGTTGCGAAAGCTTTTAAGAATTGTTTATTTCAACCACCCACCCCCACCTCCAATTTATTCAGACTTATAATTTCTAGGTCTTTAACCTCATTTTCTGTTTATTTGTTGTAGTATAGTTTGCTGTTCTTTGTTTTTATACAGGTTCTCTACTTCACTGGGTTTCTCAAAAGGATGAAGAGAGACAGTAAAAAACAGGCATTTCTTTACACAGACAAAGACCTACCTCATGTCATCAATCCACTGGAGGCAAAATTAGGTAAGATATCTCATAGATTAGGCCAGATTCCACATAAATTAGATATTAACTCACTAGAAATTAGTCAGCTTCATCATAAATGAGTTCCAATTTCTCACAAAAATATTTCATTTACTCATGCATTAGGTCAGCATCTCTTCATTAAAGGTCAGGTTCCTCCTGAATGTAATGTGTTCCCTCATTAGTAAGGACATGCTTCTCCCAGAATAGGTCCTGCTCCTTATAAACAAAACTGTTCCCTCATACATTAGGTAAGGTTCTGACCGTTACCGTGAAAAGACTTTGATAGCTTCTGATTGGTTGAAATTAAGATATTATCTGATCAGGTTGAATATTGGTATAAAAAGGTTTAGAGGAATGACAAAATTACAATGACAATACTGTTGAGAAAAAAATATCTCCATTTGGTTGCCATGGTGACCAAATGAAGACCCATTGGAGGAATCTTGCAACAATTCTAGTTTGAATTGTGTCAAATTCTTCATTAATCAAATAAGCTTCCTCTTGAATAAGGTCAAGTTCATTATGAATAACGGTATGTCCGATGCATTAAAACATAAAAGCTTGTTACTTCACGAATCAATTGTCTGCACATTTCTTAATAGAGTGATGATAGTACATGTAAAAAATGTTGTTTGTTATGTATACCAGTGTGTGTTAAGATTTCTCAGTTGTAGAAGGGATGTTCTGTGTTCCAGGTTCACACACCTCCAACAACCCAGCCTTGAACTTTCTTATATATGTACCAAGTCGAGACCAACACCCAATCTATATTGTCGACAGTAAGGGTGAGTACCCTCATCTTGTGGTGACTTTCTGGTCTGTGATGTCACTTTCTGGTCTGTGATGTTACTTTCTGGTCTGTGATGTCACTTTCTGGTATATGTACTGAGTCATACCAGCATCTGATCTGTACTATTAATAGTAACAATGAGTACCTGCTTCTTGGGGTCTTTGATGTCACTTTCTTATATATTGTTGTGAAACAGAATAATTATACTTTTAAATCTACTTACATTGTTTCATATATATATATGTATATCGAAAACATAATTTCTTTAGATAGCTATCACAACAGCCTCGGAGTGTATGATTTTCGATTTTATTCAGTGCTTGTCGACGGGTTTCGCCCTCTCAGGTTTCTTCAGGACTTTTAATCATAATCTCTTTAGATGCAAAAGACTTTTGTGCTGTAAATTATTCTTAGAAATGTGCCGCACTTAGTCTGTTGCTCAAAACTACTACTAAAATCATTTCTGAAAAAGATTAAAAGCTGCAGCTTGTTTTTAACATTATAGGGTATATCAGTAATGCATGCATGATGTTTGTAGAGGATAAAATGACACCATGATATACTGTTTTTTACATCCATACTAGGTGTAGAAGTGGAGTCCAACTCATTCCTTAGTCCCCAATGGGGTGGTATCTACATTCAGAATGCCCCCAGCCCCTCGGACAATGACACTCTGCCTGTTACTGTGGAGCTTGACATGCGTCGTGCAATGGAAGTTTTTATCTCCCAGCTTCGCCTCCTCCTCAACTTCCAGTCACAGGTAAAGAACAGCTTATAAGTTCTGATAAAGTTTTGTAAAACTAGTTGGTAATGTTTTTGGGTTTTTTAAAGCCGTAGCCCTGATTTATGCACAGTTCCATGAGAACGCAAAATTGACAAGCCATATTCTCACATGTAAACCTGTCCAAACTTTCTTGATACTGATGTTTTTCATCACTTGATATTACGAGAAATATAATTACATTGCCAACAAAAAGTTGATTTCACAACTTTAATTAATCTAAGCTTTGAAATACAATTAGGATGTTTTTCAATAAGCGTAAATTTCTCCACCGTTTTCTGAATGTGTGTAATAGTTGTACAGATTTTAAGTGTTATTGTGTAACTAATAAACCCAGGAGAGTGTAAAGATCTTACTATCTGAAACTTTAACATAAGTAGAAAGTAGAAGGATATTTTTATATTATTATGGATGTTTCAGAAAAATGGTGATGCTCTTGTTGCTGATGTTGGCAATCAGGTCATTTCAAAGTGGGTAAGTGTCATTGTTTCTGCTTTTAATGTTAAAACTTTGATGGAAATTAGATATAATTTCACAAGTAATGTGATGTCATTGACACTGATATGTATATGTGATTTTGTCAAAAATCTCTCCTGTTGCTCTGGAGTCGAAAACACTTCTAATATATTTCTCTTTTCCTTGACCTTGGCCCAATGTGAGTTGACTTTGACTTTGTGCGAGTCATCATTGAGCCAATATCATTTGACATGGATCAGTGAATTGACCTTGTTTCTATACAAGTTGACCTTGGCCCAATGTGAGATGACATTGATCTTGTTTGATTTGACTTTGACCTTGTGCAAGTTGTCATTGAGCCAATATTATTTGACATGGATCAGTGAATTGACCTTGTCCCTATACAAGTTGACCTTGGTCCATTGTGGGTTGACCTTGATGTGCATGAATTGACCCTGACCTTATGCATATTAGCCTTGATCCAATATGTGTGTGAGTCAACCTTATATCAGCCTTCAGCCAATATGTGTGTGAGTCAACCTTATATCAGCCTTCAGCCAATATGTGTGTGAGTCAACCTTATATCAGCCTTCAGCCAATATGTGTGTGAGTCAACCTTATATCAGCCTTCAGCCAATATGTGTGTGACAACCTTATATCAGCCTTCAGCCAATATGTGTGTGAGTCAACCTTATATCAGCCTTCAGCCAATATGTGTGTGAGTCAACCTTATATCAGCCTTCAGCCAATATGTGTGTGAGTCAACCTTATATCAGCTTTCAGCCAATATGACTTGATTTTGATCTGTGAATTGACCTTTCTCTTATATTACCTTGTTTGACAGGAACTTGATGGATGGCTGAGAAGTCGTTGTTTGGAGAACCTAGGAACATCTTTAGCAACACTTCAGTCCCTAGCTCAGTTACTAGGGGAGATAAGTAACATCGTAATACAGGATGACATCGGACAACAGGTATTCACTGGTTTGGTGCTACTATTTTTGTTTTTCTTTATCAATTACACTTTCATATTATTGACTAGTATCATTCTAAACATTGAAAATATCATTTCCATTGATCATCACAGGAGTATCAAAGTTTTTGTGCGACTATGATATCACAAAGGATATGATTATGGGAAAAACCATTTTAGTGATGATGTAGTGGAACGAAACACTCAGTCTGATTAGATTTCTATGACCATTGCATTATTAATCAGTCCTTGTTAGGAATTGTGTTGTTTTACTGTTTGATAGTCTGATTAGATTTCTATGACCATTGCATTATTAATCAGTCCTTGTTAGGAATTGTGTTGTTTTACTGTTTGATAGTCTGATTAGATTTCTATGACCATTACTTTATGAATCAGTCCTTGTTAGGAATTGTGATTTTACTGTTTGATAGTCTGATTAGATTTCTATGACCATTACTTTATGAATCAGTCCTTGTTAGGAATTGTGTTGTTTTACTGTTTGATCATAAACCTAACAATGACGGACCTAGTTTTTATGTGGTATTTGCAGGAAACATCTGTCCAGAGATTTTTTTCTTCACACTTTCAAAAACTGTTCATTGTTGAACTCTTTCTAAAATATATGAAACACAATCTTCAGCTTTAACACAAAACTTAAGCTCACATTCGTTGTCATTCTGTGGGCCAAATGGTAGACGAGGGAAAAGTTTGTGGTACAAGCTTAACCATACTTTTCTTATCTTAATGGTATAACATTCACTGACAAATGTCCAATCATAGAATTGTTATCAAAGAAAATCACGAACAGAGCAAGTTTCTATTTTATGTTAGTATCAGGATAAACTGAAGAATGTTTAAATGTTAAAGAACCGAATTACATTCTTGTGATTTAAGTTATCAATATGCTCCCATCATAGGTTCAGGATGCAGTAGACAGTATACGTGAGAGTCAGCACCATCTGGTGGAGGGCAGACTGGAGAAGGCATTCCTGGAATCTCGAAATGCTATTGTGTGTTCAGGTAGGAAACATTGGATCAGATGCTGAATAGAATCTCTTCAGAAAAAAAGGAATGTTTGTATTTTAATGCTAACAATTTTCAATGGAACATTTATGCCTGAAGGTGTTTCTACCAGAAGGCCTTTGTTCAGTCAATTCACTTCAGTTGGTACAGCAAAACAATCAAGACCATAACAGATCCAGTAGAAGTTACTACTGTCTGAAAGGAAAGCATCACATAATCATGTAGCACATATTTGTAAGAGTAATATTTGATCACATTTAAACTAAAACTTTTAATGTTTTTTAATTTCTCTTACTCTCTTTTTTAGAAAAAGCCTTTTTTGATCCCTCTCTTCTGGAGCTACTGTATTTCCCTGAAGATCAAAAGTAAGTTTATTCCCTCTCTACACTATTTCCCTGAAGATCAAAAGTAAAAGTAATCCCTCTCTACTGTATTTTCCTGAAGATCAAAAGTAAGTATAATCCCTCTACTCTATTTCTCTGGAGAAGTAAGTATAATCCCTCTACTCTATTTCTCTGGAGAAGTAAGTATAATCCCTCTACTCTATTTCTCTGGAGATCAAAAGTAAGTATAATCCCTCTACTCTATTTCTCTGGAGATCAAAAGTACTCTAGTATAATCCCTCTACTCTATTTCTCTGGAAAGTAAGTATAATCCCTCTACTCTATTTCTCTGGACTCTATTTCTCAAAAGTAAGTATAATCCCTCTACTCTATTTCTCTGGAGATCAAAAGAGTATAATCCCTCTACTCTATTTCTCTGGAGATCAAAAGTAAGTATACTCCCTCTACTATATTTCTCTGGAGATCAAAAGTAAGTATAATCCCTCTACTCTATTTCTCTGGAGATCAAAAAGTATTAAGTATAATCCCTCTACTCTATTTCTCTGGATTGGAGATCAAAAGTAAGTATAATCCCTCTACTCTATTTCTCTGGAGATCAAAAGTAAGTATAATCCCTCTACTCTATTTCTCTGGAGATCAAAAGTAAGTATAATCCCTCTACTCTATTTCTCTGGAGAAGTAAGTATAATCCCTCTACTCTATTTCTCTGGAGATCAAAAGTAAGTATAATCCCTCTACTCTATTTCTCTGGAGAAGTAAGTATAATCCCTCTACTCTATTTCTCTGGAGATCAAAAGTAAGTATAATCCCTCTACTCTATTTCTCTGGAGATCAAAAGTAAGTATAATCCCTCTATTTCTCTATTTCTCTGGAGATCAAAAGTAAGTATAATCCCTCTACTCTATTTCTCTGGAGATCAAAAGTAAGTATAATCCCTCTACTCTATTTCTCTGGAGATCAATTTCTCTGAGATCAAAAGTAAGTATAATCCCTCTACTCTATTTCTCTCAAGAAGTAAGTATAATCCCTCTACTCTATTTCTCTGGAGAAGAGTATAATCCCTCTACTCTATCAAAAGTAAGTATAATCCCTCTACTCTATTTCTCTGGAGATCAAAAGTAAGTATAATCCCTCTACTCTATTTCTCTGGAGATCAAAAGTAAGTATAATCCCTCTACTCTATTTCTCTGGAGAAGTAAGTATAATCCCTCTACTCTATTTCTCTGGAGAAGTAAGTATAATCCCTCTACTCTATTTCTCTGGAGAAGTAAGTATAATCCCTCTACTCTATTTCTCTGGAGAAGTAAGTATAATCCCTCTACTCTATTTCTCTGGAGATCAAAAGTAAGTATAATCCCTCTACTCTATTTCTCTGGAGATCAAAAGTAAGTATAATCCCTCTACTCTATTTCTCTGGAGATCAAAAGTAAGTATAATCCCTCTACTCTATTTCTCTGGAGAAGTAAGTATAATCCCTCTACTCTATTTCTCTGGAGATCAAAAGTAAGTATAATCCCTCTACTCTATTTCTCTGGAGATCAAAAGTAAGTATAATCCCTCTCCTATTTCTCTGGAGATCAAAAGTACTCTATTTCTCTGGAGATCAAAAGTAAGTATAATCCTCTACTCTATTTCTCTCTACTCTATTTCTCTCTATTTCTCTGGAGATCAAAAGTAAGTATAATCCCTCTACTCTATTTCTCTGATCAAAAGAAGTAAGTATAATCCCTCTACTCTATTTCTCTGGAGATCAAAAGTAAGTATAATCCCTCTACTCTATTTCTCTGGAGATCAAAAGTAAGTATAATCCCTCTACTCTATTTCTCTGGAGATCAAAAGTAAGTATAATCCCTCTACTCTATTTCTCTGGAGATCAAAAGTAAGTATAATCCCTCTACTCTATTTCTCTGGAGATCAAAAGTAAGTATAATCTCTCTACTCTATTTCTCTGGAGAAGTAAGTATAATCCCTCTACTCTATTTCTCTGGAGATCAAAAGTAAGTATAATCCCTCTACTCTATTTCTCTGGAGATCAAAATAAGTATAATCCCTCTACTCTATTTCTCTGGAGATCAAAAGTAAGTATAATCCCTCTACTCTATTTCTCTGGAGATCAAAAGTAAGTATAATCCCTCTACTCTATTTCTCTGGAGATGAAAAGTAAGTATAATCCCTCTACTCTATTTCTCTGGAGATCAAAAGTAAGTATAATCCCTCTACTCTATTTCTCTGGAGAAGTAAGTATAATCCCTCTACTCTATTTCTCTGGAGATCAAAAGTAAGTATAATCCCTCTACTCTATTTCTCTGGAGATCAAAAGTAAGTATAATCCCTCTACTCTATTTCTCTGGAGATCAAAAGTAAGTATAATCCCTCTACTCTATTTCTCTGGAGAAGTAAGTATAATCCCTCTACTCTATTTCTCTGGAGATCAAAAGAAGTAAGTATAATCCCTCTACTCTATTTCTCTGGAGATCAAAAGTAAGTATAATCCCTCTACTCTATTTCTCTGGAGATCAAAAGTAAGTATAATCCCTCTACTCTATTTCTCTGGAGATCTATTTCTCTGGATCAAAAGTAAGTATAATCCCTCTACTCTATTTCTCTGGAGATCAAAAGTAAGTATAATCCCTCTACTCTATTTCTCTGGAGATCAAAAGTAAGTATAATCCCTCTACTCTATTTCTCTGGAGATCAAAAGTAAGTATAATCCCTCTACTCTATTTCTCTGGAGAAGTAAGTATAAGTATATTTCTCCCTCTACTCTATTTCTCTGGAGATCAAAAGTAAGTATAATCCCTCTACTCTATTTCTCTGGAGATCAAAAGTAAGTATAATCCCTCTACTCTATTTCTCTGGAGATCAAAAGTTAGTATAATCCCTCTACTCTATTTCTCTGGAGAAGTTAGTATAATCCCTCTACTCTATTTCTCTGGAGAAGTAAGTATAATCCCTCTACTCTATTTCTCTGGAGATCAGTAAGTAAGTAAGTATAATCCCTCTACTCTATTTCTCTGGAGATCAAAAGAGTATAATCCCTCTACTCTATTTCTCTGGAGATCAAAAGAAGTAATTTCTCTGGAGAAGTAAGATAATCCCTCTACTCTATTTCTCAAAAGTAAGTATAATCCCTCTACTCTATTTCTCTGGAGATCAAAAGTTAGTATAATCCCTCTACTCTATTTCTCTGGAGAAGTAAGTATAATCCCCTCTATTTCTCTCTATTTCTCTGGAGAAGTAAGTATAATCCCTACTCTATTTCTCTCTAAGTATAATCCCTCTACTCTATTTCTCTGGAGATCAAAAGTAAGTATAATCCCTATTTCTCTCTATTTCTCTGGAGAAGTAAGTATAATCCCTCTACTCTATTTCTCTGGAGAAGTAAGTATAATCCCTCTACTCTATTTCTCTGGAGAAGTAAGTATAATCCCTCTACTCTATTTCTCTGGAGAAGTAAGTATAATCCCTCTACTCTATTTCTCTGGAGATAAGTATAAAGTAAGTATAATCCCTCTACTCTATTTCTCTGGAGAAGTAAGTATAATCCCTCTACTCTATTTCTCTGGAGATCAAAAGTAAGTATAATCCCTCTACTCTATTTCTCTGGAGATCAAAAGTAAGTATAATCCCTCTACTCTATTTCTCTGGAGATCAAAAGTAAGTATAATCCCTCTACTCTATTTCTCTGGAGATCAAAAGTAAGTATAATCCCTCTACTCTATTTCTCTGGAGATCAAAAGTAAGTATAATCCCTCTACTCTATTTCTCTGGAGATCAAAAGTAAGTATAATCCCTCTACTCTATTTCTCTGGAGATCAAAAGTAAGTTAATCCCTCTACTCTATTTCTCTGGAGTAAGTATAAAAGTAAGTATAATCCCTCTACTCTATTTCTCTGGAGATCAAAAGTTAGTATAATCCCTCTACTCTATTTCTCTGGAGATCAAAAGTTAGTATAATCCCTCTACTCTATTTCTCTGGAGATCAAAAGTTAGTTTAATCCCTCTACTCTATTTCTCTGGAGAAGTAAGTATAATCTTATGTCTTATGAAATATTACATTCTGATATATTTGTTCATCTGTAAACAGTTGTAAGTCATCACTCTATTAATATTCAAATGTTATCAGAAAACCTGGTTACCAGAGCTGAAGTTAGCAGGCCAAAATTTATCAACTGTAGATCAGTCTGTTTCTCTCTATTAATTGGTAGATATTTTATTATGAAGCAAAGCTAATGGGTACTCTTTTACATATAAGAGGTCTTAGTCCACTTGATTGCATTGACAGATCTGCGTCACGGCACCTATCAAAAGTTTCTTGCTATGTTGAACCTATAATATCATTGTAGTTAGTCCAGTGGCTAAGAGTCCAGTAAACAGATCTAAGGTGACTTTCTTATTAGTATTAATCATTTCCGGTAGACACACATGTAACAACAGGAAAGATGATGTCTGGTTTTACTTTGTTTCAGATTTGCCATCTATATCCCACTGTTCCTTCCTATAAGCCTCCCAGTGTTAGCGTCACTATGGAAGGCATTTAAGTGGATGAGAGAGGACAAAAAACAGAAGAAAGAATGACATCATACACCTTGTGTATTACAATAAACCTGATAAGGATCTGAGGAGAGCGAGGACGGAAAACAGAAGAAAGAATGACATGTATATCATGTGAGACCTCTAAACCTGATTAGGATCTGAGGAGATAGAGAGAGAACGGAAAAAAAAAGAAAGAATGACATGTATACCATGTGAGACCTCTAAACCTGATTAGGATCTGAGGAGATAGAGAGAGAACGGAAAAAAAAAGAAAGAATGACATGTATACCATGTGAGACCTCTAAACCTGATTAGGATCTGAGGAGAGCGAGAGAGAGAGAGAGAACAAAAAAAAGAAGAAAGAATGACATGTATACCATGTGAGACCTCTAAACCTGATTAGGATCTGAGGAGAGCGAGAGAGAGAGAGAGGACGGAAAACAGAAGAAAGAATGACATGTATACCATGTGAGACCTCTAAACCTGATTAGGATCTGAGGAGAGAGAGAGAACGGAAAACAGAAGAAAGAATGACATGTATACCATGTGAGACCTCTAAACCTGATTAGGATCTGAGGAGAGAGAGAACGGAAAACAGAAGAAAGAATGACATGTATACCATGTGAGACCTCTAAACCTGATTAGGATCTGTGGAGAGCGAGAGAGAGAGAGAGAGGACGGAAAACAGAAGAAAGAATGACATGTATACCATGTGAGACCTCTAAACCTGATTAGGATCTGAGGAGATAGAGAGAGAACGGAAAAAAAAAGAAAGAATGACATGTATACCATGTGAGACCTCTAAACCTGATTAGGATCTGAGGAGAGAGAGAGAGAACGGAAAAAAAAAGAAAGAATGACATGTATACCATGTGAGACCTCTAAACCTGATTAGGATCTGAGGAGAGCGAGAGAGAGAGAGAGAACAAAAAAAAGAAGAAAGAATGACATGTATACCATGTGAGACCTCTAAACCTGATTAGGATCTGAGGAGAGCAAGAGAGAGAGAGAGGACGGAAAACAGAAGAAAGAATGACATGTATACCATGTGAGACCTCTAAACCTGATTAGGATCTGAGGAGAGAGAGAGAACGGAAAACAGAAGAAAGAATGACATGTATACCATGTGAGACCTCTAAACCTGATTAGGATCTGAGGAGAGAGAGAACGGAAAACAGAAGAAAGAATGACATGTATACCATGTGAGACCTCTAAACCTGATTAGGATCTGAGGAGAGCGAGAGAGAGAGAGAGGACGGAAAACAGAAGAAAGAATGACATGTATACCATGTGAGACCTCTAAACCTGATTAGGATCTGAGGAGAGAGAGAGGACGGAAAACAGAAGAAAGCTTAGACTGATGCTGTGTTGTTTGAGTACAAAGTGATGTGTGTGAACATTGTTTTACTTTGGGTACATGGTGATATATGTATGAATGCTGTTTTACTTTGGGTACATGGTGATGTGTATGAACACTGTTTTACTTTGGGTATATGGTGATATGTATGAATGCTGTTTTACTTTGGGTACAAAGTCATACATGTGTTGTATGCAGTTTGAACATTAATGAGATTCGGTTTCTGTCCATGTTTGAGGTCAAGTCAGAGAACAGTAGAATAAGTAATAAGTATGCATGTAGGAAATACCAGACTGTTGGGTTCAGAGATTGTATGCCGTATGGAAGTTAGGTAACACAGTTTCAAATGTATGGAAAGAAGAACCCACCAGATATTGTGAATGTGTATGTGTTTATTTGACATGTTTACTAATTATATAAAACATCTGATAAAACAGTTATTGACCAGTTGTTAGGTGAATTAGGAAATATCACTTTCTCAGGTGATAAATCATCGTATTCACCTAAAATCAGGTCAATAATTGCATTATATATTATACAGATATTGACTTATTTACAGGGTTGTGTTATCATATGATTACGATCACAGACTCTGATTGGTCTTGTGTTATCATATGATTACAATCACAGACTCTGATTGGTCTTGTGTTATCATATGATTACAATCACAGGCTCTGATTGGTCTTGTGTTATCATATGATTACAATCACAGACTCTGATTGGTCTTGTGTTATCATAGGATTACAATCACAGACTCTGATTGGTCTTGCGTTATCATATGATTACAATCACAGACTCTGATTGGTCTTGTGTTATCATATGATTACAATCACAGACTCTGATTGGTCTTGTGTTATCATATGATTACAATCACAGACTCTGATTGGTCTTGTGTTATCATATGATTACAATCACAGACTCTGATTGGTCTTGTGTTATCATATGATTACAATCACAGACTCTGATTGGTCTTGTGTTATCATATGATTACAATCACAGACTCTGATTGGTCTTGTGTTATCATATGATTACAATCACAGACTCTGATTGGTCTTGTGTTATCATATGATTACAATCACAGACTCTGATTGGTCTTGTGTTATCATATGATTACAATCACAGACTCTGATTGGTCTTGTGTTATCATATGATTACAATCACAGACTCTGATTGGTCTTGTGTTATATGATTACAATCACAGACTCTGATTGGTCTTGTGTTATCATATGATTACAATCACAGACTCTGATTGGTCTTGTGTTATCATATGATTACAATCACAGACTCGGATTGGTCTTGTGTTATCATATGATTACAATCACAGACACTGATTGGTCTTGTGTTATCATATGATTACAATCACAGACTCTGATTGGTCTTGTGTTATATGATTACAATCACAGACTCTGATTGGTCTTGTGTTATCATATGATTACAATCACAGACTCTGATTGGTCTTGTGTTATCATATGATTACAATCACAGACTCTGATTGGTCTTGTGTTATCATATGATTACAATCACAGACTCTGATTGGTCTTGTGTTATCATATGATTACAATCACAGACTCTGATTGGTCTTGTGTTATATGATTACAATCACAGACTCTGATTGGTCTTGTGTTATCATATGATTACAATAACAGACTCTGATTGGTCTTGTGTTAGGATATGATTACAATCACAGACTCTGATTGGTCTTGTGTTATCATATGATTACAATCACAGACTCTGATTGGTCTTGTGTTATCATATGATTACAATCACAGACTCTGATTGGTCTGATGTTACATTCACCCATCAAAGTTTTTGACGGTTATATTCACCTGTGAGGCACCTGACAGGGATTTGGACTTATATTCACCTTACTTCCACAGATTCTGCCCGTTTTATTGTAACATTATATCACAGCCTATGGGAGAAAGTTTGACCTATCAGCATATAGGAAAACTAACAGTCATATACCTGTATATAATATTTATTATACACCTTGCAATGAAACTTGAAATAAACCATCTTTATTACATGTTGTACCCTTTCACATTTAGTAGACCAGGTTTTGACCCAATTTTATTTTATTTTTTACCTTAGAAGTTGTTAGAGCTATGTATAACAGTTCCTTTTAATGACTAAAATGTCAGTTTTGTAGCCAGAAATATAAGTTGGCCAATGGCGTATGATTCTGATTAGAAACAAAGAAACAATACATTTCAGTGAAATATCTTCAGGAGAAGAAAGCTAAAATCGCTTTGAAAATGTGTAAATTTCAGCTCACACCTTCAGTTTGTATCTGCCTGATACTGTTACTTAGAGAGTAAATTATGTTAAAGGTACTGGTATGAAAATAATAAAGCTATTGATAGTAATTTACCTGGTGTTCAAAGAGGAGAACACAATGCCAGTGAACACAGGTATTGTGTTTCAACATCTACTTCCCACATTTGATTTTCATCTTTATAAAATCTTACGACAAAGGCAAATGTATTACTTTGTGTTCTTGTTGATCCAATATTTGTATTAAATGATAGAAAACTTTTTTTTTGTGTGTTTTTTCTATTGCCTTTTCTCTTCTTTAGTGGACTTATTAGATCACTTTTCATTCATACACATTTTGTTTGGAAACAGTTTACAAAGCCATAGGTCACCATTTGGATCTACTGAAAAACAACTCCTGCTGAGAGATTGTCAAACAAAATAGAGCCATGATTGTCATTTTAAATTGATTGTCTATAGTTTTCTCAGCAGGGCCAAGGTTACTTTGTCAAGTTAGTCAAGTTAATCACCCTATCAACAGTCCGGGTTATTTTGAAGCATGATCTTGTAGTGGCTAGTGGCTACCTAAATGAACACCATTTGAGAGGTCCATGACACAGTTTCCAGGATATCTTGCCCAAAGAAACAACCAACACGGCACATGGAGTTCCACGAGCTTGGCTTCCTGAGAAACTTTGATTCCAACCAATCAACTTCTCGGTCTGAGAAAGTATCATACCAGCAAATCTACATGTAAATAATGTATAATTCAATATATATATTGATGTCAAAGAGCCTGTTTGCGATTATCAAATCGGTGTTGTCAAAGATCATCTTCACAACAGTCAGAAGGTATAAAATATAAAGCAAAATATGGTATATTGCCTCATTTCTATTGATTTGGATAAATGTCAATGAGAGAGGTAAAGTCTACTTTCTTTTCTACTACCAATAACAAACTCCACTTTGACATCAGCTTTGTAGTAGTCCTACGTATATAAGTAAAAAATCGTATTTTGGTGAAGGTAAAAATTTTGTGGTATTCAGAAAAAATCGTTTTTATTGGCACTTGATTTCTTGTACACAAAATCCACTAGTAATTCAATTGATGTTAATTTTCATGTTTATTAATTTGTGGACATATAAACACTATTGTCACTGATAAAAGAATCTTTAAATATTTATTTGCAATGTTTCTGTACAATGTTTCCTAACTAGTTTTTACAATTAACAATCATTTACAGTGCTACAGGGAGTTTATTATATACAATTATACCAGAGTAAGTGTCTATAAACATCCGTGTAAATAACCATTGTATTGATGTTCATAAGCAACAAGAATACCAACTGTATTTAGAGTGTAGACATATTCATAAACACGATTTGGGAATTTAACAAAACAAGTGTAAGAAAGTTACACCCCAATGCCTCCTAAACAAACATGATCCTCCTCATCAGTAATTTTTGCAATTTCAGGTTCATTTCCATAATATTGTAATTCACATCCTAATGCTAATCACAACAGAACATTTCAATCTGTTGTTCGTTTCATCTCCTTGATCTGACCCTCTCCTTTTCAACCCTGCAATCCTCTCCATTTGACTTCTTCCTATTTGACACGCTCATCTCTTTCCCTTTGACCCTTTGCCTTTTGACCCCTTCATGGCCCCTTTACGAGCACCTTTCACCAAGTTGTTGAATCTTCCTTGCATCTTTGCCTTTTTCCTGTAAAAACCAACAAGTGCATCCTTCATCCTTCACAAGAAGCTGGTATATCAGTCCACATACTGTACTGAAGATGTTTATACTGAATAGTTACTAGGTCTTACAAGTAGAAATAAACTTCATTTAAAGATTTAAAATTTTGTAAAAAAAACTTTCCTAATTAGTCTATCCATTAAAGTTTATTTCTACTGATTCAAGTTGAATTTAAAGAAATATATAAATGATAATCCTATTTGAATAACAGTTTTTGAACCAGTAACTGTCTCATATTTGAAGACTTGGTGTGTGGAATTAGAAACAAGCATACCTTTTGTTGAGAGATTGGAAGTCGAGTGGTACATAGGCATATGGGTCTGGTTTTCCCTTTTTCTTCATATCACCTCCAGCTTTCTGTTGACGATTAAAGATATACATTGGTGTTCCTATCACTAAAAGTTTCCTTCAGTTTGAAAACAAGAGATCCCAGAGGGATCTTGACACCTACAGTTGTTTGGTCTTTGTTATCTTTGCTATTCTTTTCTGTGTTTTTGCTTTAAATTATTTAAAATTTGAATTCATATAACCACCTATCAAAGATAGCTGCCTATCGGCCATCTGGCTTTTCTGATCAGATTTTGCTCTTAATAATGTTAAATTTGAAAATTCCTTTTGAGAAATAGTCAAAATGATCTTATAACTGTCTAATCTAACATGGCTGTCTATTGGCCATTTGGCTTTTCTGATCAGTTCAAAAAACAAATCGGCACAACTAGAGGCCAGTGGGAACCTACATATGAAATCTATTGAAGATCCATCCTGTGCTAATCAAGGACCAAAGATAACAAACTGTCATAATCAAAGATGGCCACCTGTCAGCCATTTTGTTTTTCTGATTAGTCACAAAATCAAAAGGGACTACAAAGTGAACCTTCCTATGAAATTTTCGAAAGATCTGTGCAGTCCTTCTCAAGAAATAGCGATAACAAGTGTTTTTTACAGATGAACAAATGATGGACGGATGTAAATCTGGTGATAGTGGGCTGACAAATAACAATGATTAAAACATTAAAATAATCCTAGTTATTTGTAATGATGATTGTGCATTTTACATGACTTGAATATACATACCTTTGATTTATACTCTCCTCCTATTGGTTTGTCTGTCTTTATCTTCTTGTTGACATCACCCGTCAGGGATCGATGAATACCACGACCTCCAGCTGGGAATCAAAACATCAATATCTGTATAATTCTACAGGAATATATTTCAGGTAGAGACTATCCCAAAGACTTTCATCTCCTCGACTCTATAATGTTATAATGTAACCTTTTACTTAAAATTCTCACCACAAGACATGACTTTACCTTCAGTTCCCACCTCTACAACAAGACGATGCTACCCTTAACTAGAATGTACTACACTCAGTTCCCACCTCTAGAACAAGAGGATGCTACCCTTAATGAGAAGGCACTACACATAGTTCCCACCTCTACAACAAGACGATGCTACCCTTACCTAGAATGTACTACACTCAGTTCCCACCTCTACAACAAGAGGATGCTACCCTTAATGAGAAGGCACTACACATAGTTCTCACCTTTATAACAACTGGATGCTACCCTTAACTAGAATGTACTACACTCAGTTCCCACCTCTACAACAAGAGGATGCTACCCTTAATTAGAAGGCACTACACATAGTTCTCACCTTTATAACGAGAGGATGCTACACTGCCTCCAGCCTCCGATGCAATATCTTCTATCTTCCTCTTCTTTGCACGCTGTCAACACAAACAAAACATCAACATCTTTCCATTATCGTAGGTAAACAGTTAATTAAAAGTTAATTAGCACTTATCTGTTACAATGTAATCTAGTTCAGGTTTAAATCAAGCCTATTTAATCTTTAAACAGACAATATCAGAGTACTAATTCTGTCCTACAAAACATCAACTTTACACCTATATGGTATACTGTTCTTACCTTTGTAGCTCCCGATCCTTTCTCCATGGCCTCCAATAGCTCATCAAGGTCATCTTCATCTGATATTTGACCTCCAGCACCTACAATGTTACATCTCTACCATAAGTCCCATTATTTTGGAACACAAAGAGATGATGGGAGGAGGGGGGAACCATAGACTCTCGTACATCCATGACCAAGTGTTAAAGCACAGACAAATCAACAAGAGTTCATTGGTGTGCACAGGATAAGGAGACTGGAAAATTCTTTTATTCCTTATGACCTGGTACACTACATACATTGGTATATTAGCTAGTATACTCCACACTGGTCATTTGTATAATGAAGGTGAGTGTTGTCATCAAAATGTCACACTCAAATCTTCTACTGGTGTTGTTATGAGAACTTCTATTCCTTAAGTCTCGTTGATTTATTTACTCGTAAATTTTATAACTTCTTGTCAAATGTTGAGAAATTTTAGCCATATAAAGTATTTATAAGGTAATTATTTGTTCAAGTGAAAACATGGTTTCTAATGAAACAAAATAAAAAATATTTATCTCTACAATTGTACCCAAAAAAAGTTGGTATGTTGGTATGATGTTCACAGTGTTATTAGTAGCCATTAAGTGACATTGTACCCAGAACTCCTATTTACCTTCATCCTCACCCTCCTGTGTGATAATAAGTCGACCGTCTGCTGCTTTCTTGAAGCCTCCATCTTTTTGCTTTGTACCTTCCTTCTTTCCAAGAGGTTTAGTGGCTGAAATATCAAAGTAACAAGTTCTTCAATAACAATACTAAGCTTACTGATGAAATGGTTTTTAATGTGGTCTCAAGTATTTTATGAAACAGGCGATGATGTAGTTCAGGACTGTATAAACCTGTAGTAACACGGATACAATATGGCAGGATAAATTAAAGCTACATCCCTCCCTTTATCACTGAATTCTCAATCAAACCAAAATGATCTGTAGGTGATATACCTCGTTTTAACACCATGGTTTTTGTTGGGTGCGAAAAAACATTAAATTCCAGACATAAGGTCCAACTTCATCATTAAATATAGTTGAGATAATTACAAGTGACTTACTCAGATATTCAATGAAATCAGCACTATTTACATTCCCGACATTATTCAGGCAATAATAATAATAAGGCATCCTCTCTCTATTTGAGAGAAAATCCTCATTTAACAACGTGAAATAATCCTTAAATAGGATCAAGCGAAACATGAAGCAGCATTTTTGTAACTATAAAGCCAGACCTGTTTAAATTCTAGTCTTATTATTATATTGGCTGTACTGTTGTACTAAAATTGCAGCTGGCAAATGTGATAACATTGTATACTGAGGCATACAAATCAACCGACCCATGACTTTCTTAGAAGCTGCCGTATCCAGGAAGTCCATAATCTCATCCTCGTTTCCTTCCTGCAGCCACGCCCCCTTATCTCCCTTGGATGACTTCTTTTCTCCCTTCTTTTTCTTCTTATTGTCATCTTCTTCCATTTCTGAGTCAGTGTCTTGTAACATCTCCTCAACTCTGAAATATACATAGTCAAAGATATATCATTTTCTTTAAGCCAGAAATCAGAACATATCTAGCCATTCTACTACAACTGTTATAGAGCTATATAAATCCAGGCCCCTGGACAATACCAAGCTTGGCTCATGTTTCCAACTGTAACCTCAGGTATTAATACCCAAGCTTGACTTAAGTTTGCTGCCTGTGACCCCAATGTTTCTTTACCAAAGCTTGACTTTTGTTTTCTACCTGTGACCCGAGTGTAGCTCTACCAATGCTTGACTAAAGTTTTCCCCCGTGACCCCAGTGTATCTTTACCAAAGCTTGACTAATGTTTTCCCCCCGTGACCCCAGTGTATCTTTAACAAAGCTTGACTTACAATTTCCATCTGTGACCCTTGTGCATCTTTATCAAAGCTTAACTTACATTTTCCACCGGTTACCATAGTGTATCGTTACCAAAGCTTGATTTACGTTTTCCCCCTTGTCCCCAGTGTATCCCAAAGCTTGACTTACGTTTTCCGCCTACGACCCCAGAGTATCGTTACCAACTCTTGACTTACGTTTTCCGTCTGCGACCCCAATATCTTTACTAATGCATGACTTAAGTTTTTGCCTGTGACCCCAGTGTATCGTTACTAAAGCATGACTTAAGTTTTCGCCTGTGACCCCAGTGTATCGTTACTAAAGCTTGACTTACGTTTTCTGTCTGCGACCCCAGTGTATCGTTACTAAAGCATGACTTAAGTTTTCGCCTGTGACCCCAGTGTATCGTTGCTAAAGCTTGACTTACGTTTTCCGTCTGCAACCCCAGTGTATCGTTACTAAAGCATGACTTAAGTTTTCGCCTGTGACCCCAGTGTATTGTTACTAAAGCTTGACTTACGTTTTCTGTCTGCAACCCCAGTGTATCGTTAATAAAGCATGACTTAAGTTTTCGCCTGTGACCCCAGTGTATCGTTACTAAAACTTGACTTACGTTTTCCGTCTGCGACCCCAGTGTATCGTTACTAAAGCATGACTTACGTTTTCCGTCTGCGACCCCAGTGTATCGTTACTAAAGCTTGACTTACGTTTTCCGTCTGCAACCCCAGTGTATCGTTACTAAAGCATGACTTACGTTTTCCGTCTGCGACCCCAGTGTATCGTTACTAAAGCATGACTTAAGTTTTCGCCTGTGACCCCAGTGTATTGTTACTAAAGCTTGACTTACGTTTTCTGTCTGCGACCCCAGTGTATCGTTACTAAAGCATGACTTAAGTTTTCGCCTGTGACCCCAGAGTATCGTTACTAAAACTTGACTTACGTTTTCTGTCTGCGACCCCAGTGTATCGTTACTAAAGCATGACTTAAGTTTTCGACTGTGACCCCAGTGTATCGTTACTAAAGTTTGACTTACGTTTTCCGTCTGCGACCCCAGTGTATCCTTACTAAAGCTTGACTTACGTTTTCCGTCTGCGACCCCAGTGTATCGTTACTAATGCATGACTTAAGTTTTCGCCTGTGACCCCAGTGTATCGTTACTAAAGCATGACTTAAGTTTTCGCCTGTGACCCCAGTGTATCATTACTAAAGCTTGACTTACGTTTTCTGTCTGCGACCCCAGTGTATCGTTACTAAAGCATGACTTAAGTTTTCGCCTGTGACCCCAGTGTATCGTTACTAAAGCTTGACTTACGTTTTCTGTCTGCGACCCCAGTGTATCGTTACTAAAGCATGACTTAAGTTTTCGCCTGTGACCCCAGTGTATCGTTGCTAAAGCTTGACTTACGTTTTCCGTCTGCGACCCCAGTGTATCGTTACTAAAGCATGACTTAAGTTTTCGCCTGTGACCCCAGTGTATCGTTACTAAAGCATGACATAAGTTTTCGCCTGTGACCCCAGTGTATCGTTACTAAAGCTTGACTTACGTTTCCCGTCTGTGACCCCAGTGTATCGTTACTAAAGCTTGACTTACGTTTCCCGTCTGCGACCCCAGTGTATCGTTACTAAAGTTTGACTTACGTTTCTGGCCGGGACCTCAGTTGCTCTTCATCTTCACTATCAGTATCATCACCTGCCTTGCCAGCCTTCTTGGCTTTTTTTGCTCTTTCTTGTGTCTTCCTGATGTTGACCAGGATTTTATGGATACTGGCTGGAGCCATTCCATAGATAGTCTCATACCTGACAGATGGAAAACATAGTGGACAAATATATATTGGAAATAAGAGTTAATTGTAATGATATGTCCTACTGAACAAAACATAAAATACATGAAAATTCACATCCTCTCCCCACCACCACCAAATTTTTTAATTAATTATCAATATGTCAACACCATAGATATATTGTTGTCATGATTAAATACTGATGCACTCTATAACATAAAATAAAAGTAAGTTAATTCTGATTCTCAAAATTTTCTCAAATATGACAGTTTTCACTCTCTCCAAATATCACTCTTCTTGAGGAGGGAGAGAAACTTGTCTGATATTTAATAACACATGTAATTATTGCACTGTGAATCAAAATATTAATATTAAGTGACTAGAACAATCCCTTAAGACTTTATAGTCATTTCTGAAATCTTCTGTCCAAAATATGTTATCTGACAGGTTCAGATGTTTGTACTAAATATAACTACACCCCAGTTTTCATTTGAATAGAAGTTTTACTGTGTGAGAAACTGAGCAAAACACAATATCTTATAAAGTCCAGCTTTTCAGCAGTCTCCATTTGGTGGACTATTAATTTTGAATTAATAAATTAATAAAGATAATAAAGATATTTTGTAATAATAAATGTGTTTAGGTATATATCAAGTTCAGTTTAAGTTAAACATACTTTTTGAGCAACATATCTAAACAGGTTGTAACACTTAACAAAACCTGGAGTCCTGGGGTGAGATTGATGTTTTACTGGAAAAGTCCTAAACAAAATCTGGAATCCTGGGGTGGGATAGATGTTTTACTGGAATAGTCCTAAACAAAACCTGGAGTCCTGGGGTGGGATTGATGTTTTACTGGAATAGTCCTAAACAGAACCTGGAGTCCTGGGGTGGAATTGATGTTTTACTGGAATAGTCCTAAACAAAACCTGGAGTCCTGGGGTGGGATTGATGTTTTACTGGAATAGTCCTAAACAAAACCTGGAGTCCTGGGGTGGAATTGATGTTTTACTGGAATAGTCCTAAACAAAACCTGGAGTCCTGGGGTGGGATTGATGTTTTACTGGAATAGTCCTAAACAAAACCTGGAATCCTGGGGTGGGATTGATGTTTTACTGGAATAGTCCTAAACAAAGCCTGGAGTCCGTGGGTGGGACAGATGTTTTACCAGAATAGCCCTAACAATGTATCAGAAAGCAGTATTAGTCCCCTGATTACAATAACCCCTATCAATCTCTGATCAGGAGGTCTCAGATCACAGAGAATCAATGTCTCTTGTTATACAGATCAAAATGGAAACCAAATTCTTTACAATATCATTAATCAAAGTCATAATCTAATCATTATCACATGCTAGCTGCTTTCCTTACCCAAATTTCCTGATGAGTTTGGCATAGATTTCCTTGGCTTTAAATCTGAAATGGTGCCTGGCATCTTCTTTCATACTGACAAGGTTAGACATCTGAAAACACAAGTCAAATGTTTAAACAGCAAAGCAGATTCCAATATCCTGACATCAGCAATAACATCTATCAACCTCAACACAGAGGAATGACTTGAGGTTACATACTTAAATAAAAATGCATTCATTCCTTAAATCCAAGTTCACATTTAATAGTTCAGAGTACCTTAATTTTAGTAAAACTATCCAAAACCAAAATTCATTCTTTTATCAATGGAAGGTTTTCGCTGTTTTTTATGAAAAGCTTTTATAGGCTACTTTCACATAACCTGCTTGAAATGATTCAGGCCATCTGGAATTATTCCACTATACACAACTGCACATGTACCATATGTTGGAACTGATACATGTAAAGCTCAAATTGCATAATTTGGGAATTTCTTGACAAGCATAAAACAATGAATTAAGATTACGATATGATCCATTTCACCTATACTTAACAGCACAATGTTTGTGGAAATATGTGAGACCTTACTTTGTACTGAAATTCTGAAAACTAAAGATATTCAGCAAGTTAGTTTCATACAGGTACGACTGGAACCCTCAATCTACAAATGCCAGCCAAGCCTCGGTCCCGATCAATACCTGGTGTTTTTCTTACAGGTTCAACCGGTCTAATAGATTCAACTGCTTACGTGAAAGCGACCTTATCCAAATTCAAAAATGTACATTATTTGTCAATTATTCACTGATTGACAGCAGCGAAAAGAAAGAGATCATTTCCAAATATCAAAACAGATGTTAAAATGAGTGTTTATAGAGAACTGACCAGTTTCTTTAGGTGAGGCGCCAGTGTGGTGTCCTGGTAGGCTGACAGGAGAACCTTGATAAAGCTGAGTGCTGATTTGACAATCTCTCGAGCTCGAGATGTCAGAAGTAAACAAGCATTGTCGATAATTGACTCTAGTAGAAGTCCGTCAATATGGTCTGTAAACAAAACAGAGAGTAAATAGTCTTATAGTCTCTTGACAAAACAAAAAGTCAAATTGATTTATAAGTCTTAAAACTCATGATCAGAATTGAGACCAGTACCTACCTTTAAACTCATAAAGAACTCTAGTGAGAGCCAGCAGGGTGGCACTGACCATCTGAGGAGATCCAGCCAGTCCAGCCATCACTGTCCTGAAGTAGGTGTGGACAGCCGCTGGAATGTGACAATAAATTAAAAGTTGCCCAAACATTCCAAATTATGTTACCAAACCTAACAAAACACACAGCGATGAATACATTAAATCCGCTTTACCTTTATAACGGGGATTAGCAAAACTCTTCAATGTCTTGTGGATTTTTTGTTTATTTCAGACAGACATGTATATCTTTATTTTGTGAGACTCAGTACTTCATTTTTTCAGAAAGCTAAAGTAAAGACAGTTTACTTGTAAAATGATGATAGAAAGGACTAATAATTCCCAAACTTTCTCATGAAGATTCATTTAAAAATATTAATTTCACTGAGAGATTCAATCAGTTTATCTCAGTTGCTGACTTATATTCTGTAACAAAATCTCATTAGAGGCCAAGCTGAAAATTATGTTGGGTAGTGTATGAGATTTCCTTGTCTATATATCAGAAATAACTGACCTTGAGGAGTTAAGTCAGAGTTATCTGCCCATCTGATCTGAGCCTTCCCCATCTCCACCAACAGGCCGTAGGAGGCTGCCCTCGCACGCTCTGCCAGCTCTTTGGTACACAGTATTGCCTGTTAATCAAGGTAAGCAGGTACATCACATTACGTTTCAAACATTTTACTGATTCTTTTGGAGAAACCTGTTGTATATTATTTTCCATTTCAATCATTTTGTTGCTTTGTTCAATTTATAAATACATCATTTTGATGTTTTATACATCAATTTTCTCAAATCAGTTTCTACACCAGTTCAAGTTAAGAAAGTTTTCATATCAGGTTCGGATCATATGAGGGTAAGTTATGATGAAATGTTGAAGTCAGTGAGTAGTACTGTACCTCAGGAACAACAGCTAGGAGGAAGTCTTGTTGGTCTTCACCTAATTGTTGGAATATATTGATCAAACAGCGTAGCCGGGGCTGAAAAATTTACATCAGAACTTATAATTTCTAGTAAATCTGAAAATTACACAATGCTACAGAAATACATTTCATTTGAACTTTAGAATAAATTAACTTGTTTGCAAATGTATCTAGTGCTTATCACAAATACCAAGATACACATAAGGTTGAAATAAGAGATAGATAACTACATTTTTGTACAAATAAGAGACAGGACAACCATTGATGATCATAAATTGAAAGAAAATTTTCATAAGAACAATCAGCATGTTTGCTTAACGCCAAAAGAGGAATACAAACTCATGTTTCACAAACAGCTTCTGAAATATTTATACATAATGATTCAATCACATTGTAGTTCAAGGTTATAGGTATTGAAAGTTGACTGAAATAAAAAAGTATCAAGAGTTGTTAGGGTTTTATGGATTACAAGAGGAATTTGATGTAAAGCTAGAAATATGATGTTCTTCATATTCAGATCATTTAGGAGTTCTAGTGACTAGACTGGGTTTAATGTGTGGACTAGTTGAGTAAACACATTGAAATCTATCTAAAGATACTTTAGAAATAATTCACAACAGTATATATATGTATAACTTTGGATAAGAGCTCTTTCAGAAAAATACATCTATCTCACACCCAGACTCCAGGTCTTGTTTAAGGGTACAACACATAGAATTCACCTTATAATTTGCTTAGAATAATAGGCATGAGACTGAACAATGCATCAATGTGATTTATTTTTTGACTATTTTAAAACTTCAGCCTTTTCACCTCTATTTATTTTAAACTCTTGGAAATATCCATCTACAGATATTTGTCAATAGATATTCAAATATTTCTTTAAACACTTTGCAGCAAGAGCACATACCGCCTTTGATGATGGACTAGATGTAGAGAGGGAGGACAGTAACACTTCCTGGACCTCAGATAAATTATCTTGGATAAACTTTTGACTTGTTTCACACCGACATGCACACAACTCCTCCATATAACGGTAACATTTCTTCTGAAGGGACCGATCTGTGTTCTGAGGAGAAAAAAAGGAAATAAGTTACAAGCTGTAGTGGTTCAACATTTAGTCTCGATAATACATCCTTCATACTGAAACCTAACAACACATATTTAGAATGGGTTACATAGGTCAACATATCTGTAGATTAGGTTACAGAGGTCAACATATCTGTAGATTAGGTTACAGGGGTCAACTTACCTGTAGAATAGGTTACAGAGGTCAACATATCTGTAGATTAGGTTACAGAGGTCAACATATCTGTAGATTAGGTTACAGAGGTCAACATATCTGTAGATTAGGTTACATAGGTCAACATATCTGTAGATTAGGTTACATAGGTCAACATATCTGTAGATTAGGTTACAGAGGTCAATATATCTGTAGATTAGGTTACTGAGGTCAACATATCTGTAGATTAGGTTACTGAGGTCAACATATCTGTAGATTAGGTTACAGGGGTCAACTTACCTGTAGAATAGGTTACAGGGGTCAACTTACCTGTAGATTAGGTTACAGAGGTCAACATATCTGTAGATTAGGTTACTGAGGTCAATATATCTGTAGATTAGGTTACTGAGGTCAACATATCTGTAGATTAGGTTACAGAGGTCAATATATCTGTAGATTAGGTTACATAGGTCAACATATCTGTAGATTATGTTACAGAGGTCAACATATCTGTAGATTAGGTTACAGAGGTCAACATATCTGTAGATTATGTTACAGAGGTCAACATATCTGTAGATTATGTTACAGAGGTCAACATATCTGTAGATTAGGTTACAGAGGTCAACATATCTGTAGATTATGTTACAGAGGTCAACATATCTGTAGATTATGTTACAGAGGTCAACATATCTGTAGATTATGTTACAGAGGTCAACATATCTGTAGATTATGTTACAGAGGTCAACATATCTGTAGATTAGGTTACAGAGGTCAACATATCTGTAGATTATGTTACAGAGGTCAACATATCTGTAGATTAGGTTACTGAGGTCAACATATCTGTAGATTATGTTACTGAGGTCAACATACCTGTAGATTTGCTTTACAGAAATCCAACAATAAGCGTAATCTTGTATTGTCTAAGTATGACACCATTCCAATGGCCAGATCCAGCAAGGCTTGTCTGTAATATAAAGTCTCAATAAGTAGTATGGGTCAACTGGTCTTATTCTCCTTATACTGTAAACCTGGTTTTCTATACTATTTTTCAACAGTTGACATATGAATGAAGATTCTGCGAGGCCATTGCCAGTACAAGGTGAATGGGTGGTGGCTAAATTTTCATGCCAATGACATTCCTCCAAGATGGCATTTAAATAAACATACATGCTGTTTCATGTTCACCTATTTCAGAGTCTCAAAACACTAAATTAACACAAACATATTAGCAAACAAGCCCATACCTTCTAAATGAGGAAATATCTTCTTCAGTAAGCTTTTCCAGACATTTATCACAGAAAGAATACACCAACTGAAATATAAGTTTTTTCACAGCAATTTTTCAAAACGGTTACATTTTAAAAGATTATCATCAGATATTGTCAAAAATAAGTTCTAAAAACAAAAATGTCCAAATGTTGTCTAAGTGAAATGTTATTTTAATGAATCTAAAAATCATAAATGACATACTGATGAGATCCAATAATAAATCATTATGTTTTAATCCAATCTCATGTCTTAAAATGTAGAATAGCTGAAATATCAGCTGGATTACCTCAATGTTCAACAAGAAATAATTGACACTTTCAGCTGAAATATTTAAATCTAATTAAACAGCACTGGATGTGCTAGAGAACTTCAAGTGAGAAAACTACTTTTATTTACAGTTATAATGTTTAATATTTCCAAAGACTTGGTAATACTTATCAATGAGAAATATAGCTCTCGTCCATTTACCATAGCTAATGCAAGTACTAACCAGAACTGTCATCCTGAGAATATCTAATACCTCCCCCGCCTCCCCCCCAACTTCAGACTTTAGCCATGGCAACCAAATTTTTGAAAACGAAGTTGCATGCACATCTACATTTGGCCCCTTTATATTGATACAAAGTTACTTTAGAATTAGTTCACCAGTTAAGGAGCAGGATGTTCTCTCCACAATATTTGCAAACATCCGATATCCAGACAGGGTGATTCCAGTATCCCCCCTTCCTCACCAAATTTTGTTGTGGGTATAAAAATGTCTAACAAGTCAAACCTGAGAATCAGCTATTTGTAGATAACATTTGACGGTCTCCAGTACAGCCAATCGTGTAGGATCTTTATCTTTCTCTGGCTCAGCCGTAAACAAGTTAAATAAGATAGGAAGGAAATTCTTGGCAAATTGTGACACAGCCTTTTTACTGGACTCTGAAAGATAAGTTATTCATGTTCATTTAAATCTTCAGCAGACAACCATATGAAAAGTTTGTTTTTCCAATGAAACAAATATATACCAACATGTAAGTAGCAAACCACCAGAACCACCATACCACACAGGTAGTTGTGTTTTATTAAATCTGTCCAGTGTTGATGCCATGTGTTATGAAGTGCCATAACTCATGTGGGTATCAAAGGGACAAGTTCGTCAAATGAGTTTGAAATCTGTCAGAAATATATCATTCCTTGTGAAAGTTTACATAATTCTCCGGGTTGGGGCCTTTGAGATCCTATACTGGGGCCCTTCAATCTGTGGGCTGAGGTCCTTGAGAACTCTGGGTTGGGGCCATTGAGAACTCTGGGTTGGAGCCCTTGAGATCTCTTGGTTGGGGCCCTTGAGAACTGTAGACTGGGGCCTTTGAGAACTCTGGGTTGGTGCCCTTGAGAACTCTAGGTTGGGGCCTTTGAGGAATCTGGGTTGGGGCCCTTGAGATCCCTGGGTTTGGACCCTTGAGTAACCAGTGATTTTCCCACTCAAGCTTGTGGCATTTCTGGGGATGATATGTACCCAACCTTTTATATTTCAAGTTTTCATCATGACTGTTAATCTAGTAAATGATATTTAATAAATCTTCATTTCTGACTTAATTTGAATTTGCCTTTTGCGTTAGCATAAAACATAAACCTACTTAGGCCTACTGTTCATAAAACAAGGTCGATATGATCTATACTATGATAGCATAAATCATAGGCCTACTTAGGTTTCCCGTACGTAGGATAAAACTTGGTCAGAATGATCTATATTATGATAACACATATTACTAGTATGGATACCCATGCCCTTCATCTCGTGTACAACATGTTTAAACCAAAACTTCTCTCTGAGATATAAGAAAACACAGGTAAAAACAGTATTCTATTTGACATGCTAAGTACCTAAGTCAAATTTTTAATAAAGTTTAACAATGATTAGAGACATTTTTCACACAATTTCTGCCAATCATCAAGAAGGCCCTGCTCACTACAAATGGTAATGTATATCAGAAGTGAAATGACAGATATGTTCCTACCATCTTCTTTACTCTGGTTGACAAGTTTACGTAATGCTGACATCACTTCCATTCGAAGCTCTGGTCTGTCACTGATGGCTGTACCCAACACTTTGGCAATGGTTTTAAAAGACTGAAAAGTAAAAAACGTCAGTTATATGGTCTTATAGTCATAGTAGGTAAAATGCTGAAGTCAGATTGTTAGATCATCTTGACAATAAAATGGTATGTTGTACCAACTTGGTAAATTGGTATATTGTACCATGAAGACGATAAAACGGTATATTGTACCATGAAGACGATAAAACGGTATATTGTACCATGAAGACGATAAAATGGTATATTGTACCATGAAGGCGATAAAACGGTATATTGTACCATGAAGACGATAAAACGGTATATTGTACCATGAAGACGATAAAACGGTATATTGTACCATGAAGACGATAAAACGGTATATTGTACCATGAAGACGATAAAACGGTACATTGTACCTCAACCAAGAACTTAAAAGGAATAGGCATAATTTGTATCAGTGGTGTTTGATGAAGCCCACATAAGCTAGGGTGAAAACTGGTTGACATACTAATAAAGATCCAACAACTTACTCTAAGCTTGTTATGATAAAATAGGACGTTGAACTATCTTGATAAAATGGTATGCTGTACCATCTAGATGATAAACCATAAAACAATTAATCTTCCAAATTACTTGTATTAATCATATACACAAATTTGGTTCACATTACTCAAGCATTTCATCTCATAATCATATCTTCAGTCATCACTTAACTATCTTACTGTCACACATCCTCTAACTATGTCACCTGTTCTATAGATATGGTACAGAACCCTGGTAAGATGGACCTCACCTGAGCTAGGTCTGTTGGTTTGGTACAAAACCCTGATAACATGGACCAGATCTGCCCATGAAGAGCTTCATACGACTTCTTCACTACAACACTATCTCCAGCATTGTCCTCAATTGCTGTAAAATAAATAAAATCATTTATTTGCAGAACAATCATACTAAACTATTTTTAATTCCACTAACCATTAATTATCATTCTTCTTTGAATTAGCTCTTTTTCTAAATTTGACATCCGCCAAGAGGATATAAGACATGATCTGTAAATATACACTCATCTTTTCTTGAATGGTCAAATAATTCTCCTGACCTGTAACCTGAGTTCATAGGTCAGGAGAAATAAAGCCTTACCTCTCTGTCTGAATTTAGCAGCCAGCGGGAGGAAGTAGGACGTAAAAAATCCTAGCTCTGTATTGTGTAGGTTATCTCGAATCACTGGTAACATCCAACTGGTTGGGAAACTGTAGTCGTCACTGTGGACAATACAACACAATCATCAATATGGAAACACAACCAAATTATAGTCAAAGTCAGTCTGTAAGGACACAATACAGTCATTACTACATAGTACAGTCAAACACAAAACTACATATAGTCATTCACATGAATATAAAAGTATTTAACAAAATCACTGCATTAATATATGTGTGTGTAAGAAACATATATTGGTTGTCTACTTAAATAACTTGTATAAATACTAACTTTTCTCCTGTAATGTTCAGAGGGACTGCCTGCAACACTTGTCGAGGACCCATGTATTTAACAGCACAACCAAATGCATGATCAAGTTCAGCTTTGTAAGCAAATCGAGGACTATCACGTAGACTGGCTATCGAGGAGAGACTCTACAAATACACAAAAATACCAAACAACCTAAAATTTTCATTGCATCACATCTAGTTTCAATGCTTGTAAACAAGAATTGTTTCTTCACTGAAATTGTAACTGCATTACTGTAATAGGTAGATACTGAAAAGACTATCTTTGATAAATATTTAACTTATACTCCTAAACATACTGAGACATGCACAGTGTATATAAGAAATTGTGTGGTTTAACAAAGGTATGTTGAAGCCTCTCGTGCTAGCATATGATTCAATGATTCAAGCGTTTCACTTACCTTTTTAAACAGATGTGGGCACTGCTTTCCAAAAACCTTCAAAGGAAATATTTATTCAACTTCAAATATTTATAAAAACAAACATTAAACATAAGTTCATACTCACATTTAAATGTGAGCTCAATTAAAATTACCTTTCCATTTTTTCAGGTACTTTTTCTTTCTATGCAGTATTTCAATTTGTCTTGATACACATCAGATATACGTAATAAATCACAGGAGTTAATACATATAAATACATTACATCTCATTTTCTTTTTTTTCACTCTTTTGTGTTAAAACAATACCCTACTAAGTTGGGCTCCTTGTGATCATGTCAATAGTTCATAGAATTCAGGGATTTAGAGTAATAAGAGGTTGGTCTTTGACTGTCCGGTAGCAATCACCAGAGAACATGCAGTGTCTGCGAGTGACATATTCAATACTCTTTTATTTTTATCATCTCATCATATCAAATTCTTGAATTCTACTGTGGAGAAATGCAGTTTGTTAAATATATGCCATTCTGTTATTTCATTTTACACTAAAAACAATTTTCCAAAAGAGGAGTGATCATTTTTTTTTCTACAATGACCTAAAAATTAAATCAATATAAAATGCCCTGATAAATCAGTAATCATATCACAGTATATCTCGTACTTATTTGCTGTCCTTTTGGACAAACGCATAAACACTCAGGAGTGAGTGTGCAGAAGTTGGATATAGTCAAGTGTGACACAGGTTAATTTTAGTGACTTTGACACCTGTTGGATGAACAGAGAGAGAAAATACTATGAACAATTAGGGGACAAGTATAAAAAATGAGTTTGAGGAAAAAGGCTGGGATATTCGAGGAATAAGGAATCAGTAAGAGGAATAGGGGGTATTTGAGTAATGTGAAATTGAGGAAGCAGAATTTTACTGTATTACATTCACATATTGCAATTTCTTTTTAAAGAAATTATTACAGAAAAGATGAAATGAAAGCTTTTAAGTTGTTGATATTACCTCAAAGAAGATGGAGAATATATTGAGGACATGTCCCCAAGACGCATGGAACTGATAGGTGAGTCCACTGTCCATCGCACACACCAGCTTGTGTATAGGTGTGGGTGACCCATCAGGGGCAGATCTAACCACACTCACAAGCCCTTCAGACACTGTACCTAGACATGTCTTCAGCAAACTCTAAAACCACAACAAACATTCATCTGAAAATCCTAAAATTTTACTGTGAAAATGCAGATAAACAAAACATTATACAAAAAAGGACAAACACACAAAATATATGTACAATTGTTTCTAGTATAAGTACAATACTAACAAACTCCTGTACCTACATTGTACCTTTAGATTACACTATGCTTCATGTCATGTTTATACAGTGGATTCAATTAAAGTTAAAACTAAAACTTTGAAATACCTGGTTAATTTTTAGCAAAATTTTTCTAGAGCCTCTCATTGGTTAATAATGTGCTTTATATAAACTGTGAATTAGGTTTAAGATACAGACTGGGGATAAACACTTTATACATCTGAAGACTGATATGTTATACGGCCATGTTATAAACATTCAAGTTATCACAAACACAGTTGTCATAAGTGTCTCTAATCAAAATTACAAAGTTGCAGAAATTTTCCAGTGTTGTCACACTGATCTCTTATCCTTTATACATCATCATTTTTTCAGTTCGATGTCATCAAGTCTATTTTAAAAGACATTATACTGCATATCCTACCTTCATTGCTTTGGCCGCAGAGGATCTCACTTCCTCTTTATCTGACAATAAACTGGCCATCGCTGTGGAGAAAAGACGAGGCAGATGACTGATTCCCAGCTTCTCATCCAGTCTACAAGCAATAAGGATTCTCTGTACACTTTTGGTATATCAGGAGTTAGGACAGTTTCAAGGGATGTAATTTAGTTATTTATTGTGCAGTGTAATTTGTAACCACTGACTTTTCTCTATATGAAATCTTGCAGGGACCCTCAATTGGAAACCATTAACCAACAAATTTCTCACAGAAAATGAACTACGTTATTTAATCAGTTTGTTTGAACCAGCCTTTTAAAGTCTTACACTGGCATTTATTGTATTTGAATTACACTTGTTCTGTGTAACACAAAAACTTGTCAAATCTGCACAGAAACATGGGATGTTGTGTTGTCTGGTTCTAAAAGGTTACATTCAATATAGCGCTGTAATCCATAACCTGCAGATTCCTGCTGCCTTGGTGTACACAATTAATAGTCTGTTTAAACACACATGTGCTGTGGTGGGTTTTGAAGGACCTGACAATATATTGATGAAGCCACCTTTAGAAACATGTCTGTAAAGTGATACTAGACTAGACACTAGATCTACAATATCACATCACTTAAAGGAACATACTTAACAAGGTTAATGTGTGCCTTCTCCATGACAGTTAGCCAGGCTTGCATTGGTTGTACATCATTCTCTGATGGCTGATAGTCATACAATGCCTGAAAGGAAAAATAGTGAACAAACTAAGCTTCTAACTTTGATACCTTTTCTGTACCCATTAATTAATCAATTATCAATTAATCAACGGAAAAGAAAGTTTCAGTAAAAAAAACTTTCTTATCCTAAAGAGTGTGTCTCAGGATATTTACCTCTCTCTGCTCTTACATCTGCTATAATTAACATTTGTTTCTTCTTCTAAGTATCCATCTCAAGATCATATCATAAACGTAACCTTTAAACATTACAGCTTTTTTTCCCTAATTAAACAATACAGCCACTGTAAAATTAGGACTTTGAGTGATGTGATCAGTCACAAGTTAAAATTTAATGCTAGTTCTTCTGAAATAACTCACGGTTATGATCTGTCCATTAAGTTCTGAGGAAAAGCTGGATATTTTGGGGTTGGAAGCAAATAGACTGTGTAATGTCTGCATACTGCTAGCAGTAACCATCTGAAACAATAGCCGTGATTATTAAACTCCTCTGAACAAAGTATTAAATTTAGTCACACAAGGTAACACACACATACAATTAAGTACACACAAATAATGATCTCACAAATGGCCTTAAGTATCACTAAAAGGATTATTGATTAACTAATTTAGGATGCCTTACTTGAAAGATTTCTGAAATATGTATTGAAATCAGGTATAAACTTCCAGCACAATTACACTAAATATTTCAGAAATATATGTACTGATAAATTTCAAAGGAGGCCTTTGTAATGCTGACATATACAAGTGTGTACAACTCACCGGGTTACTGAGTGTCATCAGCCTCAGTATGGTCTCACACACAGATTTGGTGCTGTGTTGGGGAAGGTGTCCCATCACCTCTTTCAGTAAAGACAATGTGTGTAGTGTGTCTGTTGCATCTCCAGTTCCTGCCACATATTTACAGTTAATCTATTACCATATATCAACGATGCAAAAGTGACTAAAGGAATATATCTCTCCCTCCTCCTCTGAAACATCAATGGCTACCCGACCAAAAAGAAGCTATAACTCTATAATAGAGTGCAAGATCCAGTTTAGTATATATGCACCACACCCAAATTAAAGAGATACCTACAATGTTGGACAGACAAAGGGTTGTCATTCCCTTCCCTTCAGGATTACAGGCAGGGACACATGTATCCCAACGTACATAAACTAATATACACTGGTGTCAGTGATCAATAATGTTACTAATGCATTTAGGCTCTAGAATGCTCCATAGTGTCAATTTTACCAAAATCAATGATTTTTAAATCTATTCAAATTGTATAAATGTCTGTTGATTGAAAAAAAACGTAATTTTGCAAAACAAAACTAAAAATTTCACAAAGGCCAAAGTTACCTCCACACTCCTCAATTTTCTGTATACAGAACTTGGCAGTAATGGAAGCAGCAGGGTGGTGAGGTGGAGGATCCCCTTGGGTCATAAACAGGCTACCCATGAGTATTATACAAACACCCTTATGGGCAGCCTTCCGTACCTGTTAGGACAGTTAAGATTGTTTAGATATGGATGGATCATGTTTGTCATTTGTCAAAATCAAATTATTATTCACATTACAACATAATATGAAATTTTGACAATGGTATAGTGTTCTGAACTTACATACGGCCGACACATTGCACTGATATCTTGGTTTAAGATACTCAAGTTACAGAAATTCAGCATCCACTAAGCAGATTCCAAATAAATGTGAGAAAACCAGTTTTCAGCACTGAAATGCTTACACAAACACAACAGTACTTACTTATTTACAGACACATTCTGAAATTCAGTGAAATGTTTACAATAATACAGCTGTCCCTACTAACTGATAGATTTGGGATCAGGCTTACTTTGGGTTTTTTATGAGTGGTGAAGGTAAGAAGACCAGAATAAATCCGATGAGTGGATGAATTAGACCACACAGCAGGCTCCTGGACTCGCAGCAGTGTTGAAAGGGACATCAGCAGCTACAAAAATATAAAAGTCATACTCACTCAAAAGTTTTAATTCATTCATGTTAATCCGTCACATTGTCGGTCCTGTATCTCCAGATACATATCAGTTGTAATTGTGATCTTCTTAGACTATGAGAATAACCACATTGTGTTAATTATCTCTCTTAACACAGGCAAAGAATTGATGACAGGAAATCCAGATATGTTGACATTAGGAGTAAGTATTATCAAGGTGACAAATTACTAGACAATGAAATATATCATCCAACATACTGATTTCAGGAGTGAGGTGGAATCTCCATCAGCATGGGTTGCCATGATGTCTAATAGTTGTCGTGCTACTTCAGAAAATCTACTCCGTAACACTGGTGGTGGTACTCTGAAATCAAAAGGCATAAAGTATTGATCATGATCCATAGTTAAACTAAGAGGACAAATATATATAATAAATGTGACACTGACCACTAAATTACAGCCTTATATCGTAAGAAACCTTGACGTCTTCATTATAAAACTGTGTTATCATCAGATACAGACCATTTTAGAATGCAGTTGTATAATTATCAGATACTTACCGTTTTAGGACGAGGTTGAGAAGGTAAGTTATTGCCGTCAGGGAATCCAACCCTTCGGTTGTTTCTAATGCTGTCATCTGTAAAACACATGTAGTTTATACTACACACAGTTCCTATAGTATCTATACATGATTTCTACAGAATAACTCTCACTGACATACAAAGTTATAATTGTTGATAACTTAAGTGGTAGAAATAACCAAATTCTGCATAGGATCTATAGCAAAGGTGGATATATTTTGAAACTCTATTCTAAATTATTTATCTACAAATGAAAAAAAATTATCCACTCTAAATATGAAATTCATAAGGGTTGTATAATGGTAATTTCGAGTGAATCTGTTGGTAATAGTTCATTATAAGTAATATTTCAAGGGAAGAATGTTCATGTACTCAATCTGTAAAAGGTGAGTTGTTACTCTGAGCATTCTCAATTTGTGTTGCTGCTGATGTTGCTACAGCGTATTGAGTAATGTCGTAAATTACGTATCTTTAGACGCTTCTTCTCCTAAAGGGATTTTTCCAACATAGAAATAATTTCAGTTTTGTTACCTAATAATTTGATTTTTATATCATGAATTTTCTTATGCAACTTAGTCAAAGCTAAATTTTCTTCTGTAAATCTCATATTTTATGTGTTTATTTTCATTTTGTGATTACCTTGTTTTTACTTCCATTTACACTTCTGTTGAATTCATATATACCTTATAATATCACAAACAAATCTGCTAGACACATATTACTTTCAAGTTGAACATCTTTAGAACTATGTACTTTTAAAGGACATCCCTGTATTGCTGACTGTAGAACATCACGTAATGGCATCATTCAAATATACAGTTATAGGGGTCAAATGTTGAAGGTTGAGCATGTGTAACACAATCAATATAATTCATGCAATTGTTGTGTTGGAAAGGTGATAAAATTTTCACAATAACAGAATTCATCAGCAGTAAAACCTTCAAAGACGTAACTGCTAGGTTGGCTTCTGTATAATATAAACATGTTAGAAGTTTAATGCTAAATACTGCACTATACATGTGGCCTATTGAAGTCCTGTCATCTTATCTTGAAAAGAACTCACTTCACTATCCAAAGATAAAAGCATGTGGAGTGTTCACTTTTTTTTCTAAATACCGGGTACATTACACTAGCCTGTACTCAGGCATATACAATTCTCTATGGACACAACATATATCTCATGACTAAATCACTTTTCACATATAGTTATATAACTCTCATAAGCAAAATGGTCGCTACTATGAAGCTTTTGGTTGCTAATATCAGGATTTTTCCAGATTAACAGTTGCCAAATCATGTATTCCCAATATAGGTAAGATCCATAAATGACTGACAAATCTTCCAGTTTAAAATATAAACATTTCCATAATTATTTTACCAATGCTGCAAAGTATTCAGTTTCTGTTTCAGTTCCTCCCTCTGACTTGATGACTTCTGTAACAGCTGCCAAAATGGCCAAAATCTACAAAACAAAGAAAATATCTGAAACAACAGATTGATTCCAAATCTTGTAAAAGATGTTTTATGTCATCAATATCTGGAAAAATCAGGCAAGCTTGTATCTTAAACCTTCAAGCTTTCATTTAAAATTAGGAAAAAGGATTGGTCAGGCACAGGATTTTGGTAAAAATAGTTAAGTAGCACTATTCTATTTTTTAAGTTAAACAAGCCAAAGTAGCTAAAGACAGGACAAATTTAGTTGTAGTGAAATCAGTGCATTCAACCTTTAGTCATCTAGTATCCAACCACAGCCCTGCAAAACCAGAGTTATAGGTTAACTTCAAATCAATTCTATTGTACATTTTATTTTAACATTATTTTTGCTACATTGGATTCCAAAACTGAATCTGAAATTTTAAAATACTAATCAAAAAGGGAAGAAATACCAGGTGATTTAGTATTTTAATGTTTTAAGTAGGTCCTGATATCAATAATGTTGAACTGACTTGAAGATATCAGGTGATTTAGCAACAGTTTGAAGTCTAACAAAATCCCTGTAAGTAAGTCTTTTCTCAGGTTATCATGACTGATGGGTTTTGGTTTGTATAAAAGCATCTTCTGCATGTAGTGTTGATTTTATAACTAGCTTGTTGTTTCATACCTCTCTGTGTAGGGCTGAGTTTGATGCCCAATATCGATGAACTTTGTTGAACGTGACATTAGTACAATCTGTCCAATTTGTTGCCCATGTGTTAAAAGTTTTCCCTCCTGCTGTCAGTCTGTCTGATTCATCACCAGACAAAATAGCATCTCCATCACCGTCTACCTGTACCTCATTGTGTTTGGCCAAAGCATCTACAGTCAATGAGCTGGGACCTAAAGATAATATGGCCAAAGAAGACAAATTCAAAGTACCATTGCTATTTGCAGTTAAAATGAAATTCAGTAAGGATGCACTACCTTAAACCCATATTTCAATAATTTGGGTATACACATACTGGGTTTTAACTCTAATCAAGGGTGAAAAGAATTTTAAATGCTTCTGATACAACGTAGTTCTTTGTCTTGTGATTTATTTTCAAAATCATTGTCCATGATATGTCACCGTGTTTAAGTTCCTTAAATAGGAACAAACGTACACTATACACCTCATTGTAGTGTATACAGTGCTGACAGTCCGAAACAATCAATTACATGTAACAGGTGAATCCTGTGACTACCTAGCTACATGTAAATCATGAAAGTTCCATGGAGTTCATAGCGATGGATTGAAACAATACACGAATAAGTTTAAGTGTTATGTCAGTTTGCTCATCTTTATAGAAAACTACTAGCACATCAAGGCTTATCAAACACAGATATGTAAAATGTGATTACCCAATCAGGACTAACACAAATGTAACAATTTTTTAACAAGAGTCGAACATTTTCACTCACCTGACTGTTTGTTGAAAAATCTGCTTTTCGCAGCCTCCCGAAATCTTTTCGTCTCTGGATTACTACTGCTACTTTGACCTTTTTTCCATTTCTTCCTACCTACATTCTTAGAACGAGGAACAACTCTTGTATTCCGATTTTTCTGTCCCATATCTGTCTACTTCACACTTTTCCACGTGCGTGCAATAAACAGGAAGTGTAGAATTGAACCAAGGGCGATAACTCTGACCAACTTTTGTGATTTGCAATTGGGCAATGCGTAATGCAAATCTCAACATGAACAGATTTATTGTTATTTCTTCAACATTTTTAAACCAAAGATTGTGAAATACAAATATTTCTATAATGAAAATAACTTTCCCTTTCAGGTTAGTGTATTAGAAAGTGATTTGAAAAAGAGTCCTTATACAAAATGTTTGTTGTACATCGTGCATACAGGACCCCGAAACAGCCATTTTGTTTTTTACATTATCATTATTAGTGTTTTTATCATAAACATTGATTGTTATTATTACCAATTTATTTTCTCTTTCATTAAAATATAACAAGGTGATACAGAGATAGCGCTGTGCGTATTTTGGCAAATTCATGACTCCTAGTTTCCAGGGTTCAAAAATCAAGCTGAAATAAGAATGTCCCTACTTTGCAGTATATAGAAAAACATAACAGCTCTACGGTTTATAATTCAGAATATTTTCAGTGAGTGATAATTTCCTAGTGAGAGATCACTGGTTAAATATCCACTATTCCAGCCATGTAGCTCTTGTTCATTTTAATAGTCAAAGACAGTACTTTTAGCCAAATCCTTCAGGATTAATTCCACATATACATAAATAGATATAGAAAACTAATAAAACTGGAAACACTTCTGATAAGTAAAGCACGAGCGCTTATTCATTTCAAATCTTCAGTCGCTTACAATTACGGCTTTGCGATCTCAGTAGGCCTGTGTGACACAACGTGACGCCATCATTCTGCTGAAATATTTGGATATGAATTGGTTATATCTAGAGTTACAAGGTGGGTGTTTTAGTTAACCCTGTTTGGTAGATGCGAAAGGAAAGCTAAATCACCTCTCACATAGCTATTTACTTCTGTACATATCATGGTTCGAGTAAAATGTCTGCCTGACTGCTTAGCCTCTGTGTTGGTGCGTTTGATCCCCAACCTGACAGTCGGTATAAAACTGAAATTTCCCGCGTTGGTATAGCTGACGTGTTCTAAATTTTGCATCTTCACAGCTTCTTTTTATTTTACTTGATTTATTGGATTTAAGGCAGTCCGTAAAACAACTTTCTTTGTAATCAAAATCAATAAGTTGTTATGAATCTTTTTCAGTGATATCAGTAGATGACAAGTTTATTGATAGTTCATCTTGTTTTTTATTTAATTTTTTGCGGTGTTCTTCATTTTTAGCATCTTTTTGATGCTGTTCTTATAGAATCCGGTATCCATTATAACTGCCGTACCGCCTTCGTCACCCTGCACTGTTTGATGATTATTCTGTCGTCCTCTGAACGGTTGGTGTTTTTTCTCCCCTTTGTTAGATTTCTTTATATCTTGTTGTTGATTGCTCCTAAACACAGGGACATACTTTCTAGTGTATCGTATACTTTATCCAATATGTTGTGTCTATATTTCTTGGGATTGAATGTAAATTCATTCTTGACTAGGTTCACTTCTCCCTGATCACTATCCTCATTTCCATTTGAATTATGATATACATTTAGCTTTGCTAATATTAACCTGCGATTGTATGTTTTGATGTGTTTTTGATTTGGCCCCTACGGCTATCAAACTTATCGCTATATCATACTTGTAGAGTCAGACAAAGGGAAGTAACTCTTGGAAATCAGAACGGCATGTGACGTGATAAACACAAGTTGTTAACCAAGCTAATATGCATCCTTTCAATCAGAATAATTTGGTATCGATAGAAATGTAAACATGTTGGAGCAGCAACAGTGCTTATCTGAAAAATAGGGAAGACTGTTGCAATGATATTGCTTAGTAACAGAGACCAGACAGGGGCTAGCTGAGCTAATTTGAAATACCATTGTAGTTAGGGTCATGGAGATGTTTTGTCCCATTGTAAGTGGAGTCCTGGAGATATTGTGTCCCATTGTAAGTGGAGTCCAGGAGATGTTGTGTCCCATTGTAATTGGAGTCCTGGAGATATTGTGTCCCATTGTAAGTGGAGTTCTGGAGATGTTTTGTCCCATTGTAGTTGGAGTCCTGGAGATATTGTGTCCCATTGTAATTGGAGTTCTGGAGATGTTTTGTCCCATTGTAATTGGAGTCCTGGAGATATTGTGTCCCATTGTAAGTGGAGTCCTGGAGATGTTTTGTCCCATTGTAATTGGAGTCCTGGAGATATTGTGTCCCATTGTAATTGGAGTTCTGGAGATGTTTTGTCCCATTGTAATTGGAGTCCTGGAGATATTGTGTCCCATTGTAATTGGAGTTCTGGAGATGTTTTTTTTCCCATTGTAATTGGAGTCCTGGAGATTTTTTGTCCCATTGTAATTGGAGTCCTGGAGATATTGTGTCCCATTGTAATTGGAGTTCTGGAGATATTGTGTCCCATTGTAATTGGAGTCCTGGAGATATTGTGTCCCATTGTAATTGGAGTCCTGGAGATATTGTGTCCCATTGTAAGTGGAGTCCTGGAGATATTGTGTCCCATTGTAATTGGAGTCCTGGAGATATTGTGTCCCATTGTAATTGGAGTCCTGGAGATATTGTGTCCCATTGTAAGTGGAGTCCTGGAGATGTTTTGTCCCGTTGTAATTGGAGTCCTGGAGACATTGTTTCCCATTGTAAGTGGAGTCCTGGAGATATTGTGTCCCATTGTAATTGGAGTCCTGGAGATGTTTTGTCCCATTGTAATTGGAGTCCTGGAGATGTTTTTTCCCATTGTAATTGGAGTCCTGGAGATGTTTTGTCCCATTGTAATTGGAGTCCTGGAGATGTTTTGTCCCATTGTAGTTAGAGTCCTGGAGATGTTTTGTCCCATTGTAATTGGAGTTCTGGGGATGTTTTGTCCCATTGTAATTGGAGTCCTGGAGATATTGTGTCCCATTGTAAGTGGAGTCCTGGAGATGTTTTGTCCCGTTGTAATTGGAGTCCTGGAGACATTGTTTCCCATTGTAAGTGGAGTCCTGGAGATATTGTGTCCCATTGTAATTGGAGTCCTGGAGATGTTTTGTCCCATTGTAATTGGAGTCCTGGAGATGTTTTTTCCCATTGTAATTGGAGTCCTGGAGATGTTTTGTCCCATTGTAATTGGAGTCCTGGAGATGTTTTGTCCCATTGTAGTTAGAGTCCTGGAGATGTTTTGTCCCATTGTAATTGGAGTTCTGGGGATGTTTTGTCTAATTGTAGTCCTTCAGTTTAAGCTTTAGATATATTGACCATGTCTTTTCTTTAAATAACATAAGCATCATTAGTGTTTCAATCATGTTTACTGATCAGACCTTGATCAAAGACACGACATCGGCAGGTGTGATAAACGAGATGATTCGATTTCTCTTTTGTAAACTAAATTTCCATTTCTGAAAAGTTACTATTTTGCTACCGGTCCAACATACAGTGTTTTCATGTCACTGTTCCATACTCAATGGTTAGTTCCCAATATCACACCTACAACAACACTGGGTTTCGAGGGAAACAGGTTGTTGAAGACAATGTTTCATTGCGTCACTATTATCTCACTGAAATATTTTGTGTCATTGAGCGATATTAAGTAAGACGTGATTCACATCATCGTCAATGGAGCAGACCACCTGACCTTATTTTCCTGGTTCTTTTTCGTTTGTTTCATCAGTTCTGAGTTTGTTTCATCAGTTCTGAGTTTGTTTCATCAATTCTGAGTTTGTTTCATCAGTTCTGAGTTTGTTTCATCAGTTCTGAGTTTGAACTTTTGTTAACTAATCGGTATTTATTTTGTTTTCAAGCACAATTTGTTACAGTTTCGATAGCGTGAATTGATTACAAGGCCAGTGTCTCTAAATATATGCTGAATTCTGGTGAAGGTTACAAGTACAATAATAGCGTGTCTTCTATCACAAGTTACTAGTACTGATGCAACTTTTGATCTAATGTGGTGCTACTCATCCTCCCCATATCAGTTGTATACACGAAAGTGCTGTTTTAAGTTAAATTAGATATGTTCTGTTTGAAGAGTCCACTCTATACCGGATATATTCTGACTGTTAGAAGAGTCCACTCTATACCGGATATATTCTGACTGATTGAAGAGTCCACTCTATACCGGATATATTCGGACTGTTGGAAGAATACACTCTATACCGGATATATTCTGACTGTTAGAAGAGTCCACTCTATACCGGATATATTCTGACTGTTAGAAGAGTCCACTCTATACCGGATATATTCTGACTGTTTGAAGACTGCCCTCCATACCTGTATATTCTGATTGTTAGAAGAGTCCACTCCATACCTATATATTCTGATTGTTAGAAGAGTCCACTCCATACCTATATATTCTGATTGTTCGAAGAGTCCACTCCATACCTGTTTATTCTGATTGTTTGTAGAGTCCACTCCATACCTGTATATTCTGATTGTTAGAAGAGTCCAACCCATACCTGTATATTCTGATTGTTTGCAGAGTTCACTCCATACCTGTGTACTCTGATTGTTAGAAGAGTACCCTATATACCTGTATATTCCGATTGTTCGAAGAGTCCACTCCATACCTATATATTCCTATTGTTAGAAGAGTCCACTCCATACCTATATATTCCGATTGTTAGAAGAGTCCATTCCATACCTGTATATTCTGATTGTTAGAAGAGTCCATGCCTATACTCTGGGGTACACTCACTGTCAATTAGTACTCTTGGGTACACTCACTCTCAGTTAGTACTCTGGGGTACACTCACTGTCAGTACTCTGGGGTACACCCACTCTCAGTTAGTACTTTGGGGTACACTCACTGTCAGTTAGTACTCTGTGGTACAATTACTGTCAGTTAGTACTCTGGTGTACACTCACTGTCAGTTATTACTCTGGGGCACGCTCACTCTCAGTTAGTACTCTGGGGTACACTCACCGTCAGTTAGTACTCTGGGGTACACTCACTGTCAGTTAGTACTTTGGGGTACACTCACTGTCAGTTAGTACTCTGGGGTA